CTGGTTAGTTCAAGGGTTAGCTCAGGTTCCTTCCAAGAAGCCAGGGCAGCCCTACCGCATGGCACTTGCTAGCACGACAGGGGGGAGGGGGAGGGCACTGCAGAGAACAGTGGAGCTTTTAGGAATACTGAGTCACTCGACCATGTCAGTGTCTATAAATTCACTTCATTCTCCTCCTCAGCACCCTTTCCAACTGCCCCCACCACCACCACAGGCATTCCTTAAGCCTTAAGGCATCCTCTAGATGGTGTTTTTCCTAAAGCAAGAATAGACTTTTTTCCCAAATCATAGCTTTTAGAAATCGTCTTGAGGAGCGCAGATCAGGCATCGATATATATTATATGTTTGACATTTTATTCCTTGTATTTTTCTTATTTTATAATTTTAAGTCAGTGCTCTTCCTTTCGGCTGGGGGTGGAAGGCAGGAGAGAGAAGGTTAAGTCTTTAGGTGAAGGAGAAAGAACATTCCTAAAAGAGCCTGCTCTTCTTAGCTCTAGGCACAGGTGGCCAACCTTAAGCTAGAAAGTTAGGGAAGGGACAAAGTCCCTTTAAAAATTACATTTCATTAGCCGAAACTGGTTTGGCTCAGTGGATAGAGTGTTGGCCTTCGGACTGAAAGGTCCCAGGTTCCATTCCAGTCAAGGGCATGTACCTTGGTGGCAGGCACATCCCCAGTAGGGAGTGTGCAGGAGGCAGCTGATCCATGTTTCTCTCACTGATGTTTCTAACTCTCTATCCCTCTCTCTTTCTCTCTGCAAAAAATCAATTAAAAAATATATTAAAATTTAAAAAAAAGAAAGGGGAGGGACAAAGTCTTTTTAAAAATTACATTTCTTTAAAGCAGTGTTTTAAAATTTGTCATTCTTAGAAAATCAATTGGCAATTTTTATACCATTGACTTCTCCTTGAAAGAAATGTAAAGATGGTTTACATTAAAAAAGAAAGAGAGAAAAGAAAATTCATTGGCAAGAGTTTTCCAAATGTTCCCAAAGCTCAGCAAGGCCGTGGCTTCCATTCCAATGAGACAGGCACTTAGATTAGGGTGACTATGGGATGAAGTCAGTGGGAAAACTGGCCAGAAAGACAGCGCTGACCCCCAAAGGGCAAGAAAAACAAGCGAAGGCCGCTGGTCACACACCACCAAGAAGCTCCTCCAAATACTGGTTTGCTCACGTTTGGAAGATTCTTCTGTGCTGACTTGTAAAACAGTTTCTGGATAAATAATGTGTAACAGCTGGTCATCCAGCTCACACGCACTCCCAGAGGGCCCACCGCTGAGACCGGCGATAAATAATAGATCCCCATGTGCTGCCCAACCCAGTGTCTCCCTGCTGCTGCTCGGCAGTCACAGGGGACGCCACCCCGCCTGGCATGTGGTGGGCGCCACGTATTCCCAAGATAGAGTTCGCTGATAGGATTATGGGAGCGTCGCCAAAGGCAGTCCCTGCCCAGGGAGTCCGTATCACGTTACCCTTGGAAATATTTTAATCTAGAAACACCATCCCCTGGATACAAAACCCACCGACACCTGGCCGCTGGGTGTGGCCTCGCCCACACAATCCTGAGACATCTATTTGCTTTCATGGGCAAATGGGAATTCTGAGCTAGGAATAGAAGGGGAGAATTTGAAAATGAAAGCAGAGTCACACCAAGTATTTCTGAATGCTCTTTCAAGATAAAGGATGCACTGGTTCTATCAGCAGTCCCCTCTGTGTCTCCAAAGCCAGGTCTTTGCAGGTGAGGGAAGGCAGGGGCAGACCCACCGGGCTCTGCACTGTCTGTGCTCTTGTTCCACCACCAACCACCTCCCACCCTGAGAGGAGGACCGTGGTTTGGAATTGGAGGACTGCTCCTGTGTGTTGCAAGGCCCTGTGACGGGGTCCTTCGGGTGACCAGAGCCTCTGGGAGGTGAGTTTCTGCCATTGGTCTGCCCATCTGTGTTAACTGGGGGTGCCGGATGTCAGGTTGATTTGGGTTGTTGGCGCATTGCCTCCAAAGTCAGCTCCCACTTTCCCTGTAGTCAGCGGGCTGGCGTTACGTAAAAGAAGGGGGATCGGGACTAAGAGTGGTAGGTGGCTGGCACTTGGCTGGAGGGAGGCAGGGCAGGGCAGACGGGTACAATGCCTGCTTTCTCCTCTGTCTCTAGGTCCTGTACAGCCTGTCCGGAAGCTGGCAGCCCACAGAGCAGAGGGTATTGGGGAGGAGAGGAAGGCATTGTCACATGGCCCCACGGTTTACCTCTGAAGATGGAAACAGGTGGCCAATATATAACACTTGTATTGATTGGGCTTAGTGACTAGAACAGACATCACCTGCCTTCCAGAGACAATGATTCGCTGACCATCTTTGGCCTCTAAGCACTGAGGATTTTTGGAATTTCCATCTATGGACATTCTCAACCGATTCCATCCGATTCCCAGTCATCCCAGCCACGGTCATCTTCTCTTACACTGGCAGATGGGTCAGCACTTGGGCACCAAATTCAGACTTCACAATAAAGTGAGCCACGCAGGGCACAGCGGGCAGCATGGTGAGCACCTGCATTCATTCCTGGCCGGCCCGGGCTGCAGCCTCCCCCAGGGCTGGGCCAATGGGGAGCCGGCCTGTGTGCTCAGTGGTCGCGCTCAGAGGGGTCTGTGAGCTACTGCTGAGCACACAATGGCCAGTCTAGCTGCATAAACAGTCCCGGCCCAGGTGTGTCCACCTGAACTCAGTAAGTAAATTGGGTTCTGTTGGGTTCTGACCGGAACCTCTTTGAGTGAATGTTGGGAGTCCAAGACAGAGCCTGGGAGCTTCGTGGGAAGATGTTCCAGTTCTTTCTAGCTACCTGTAAGGGGCTATTACAAGGCTATGAATGTAGGCTGTCCTTTACCAGGAAAAAACCTTTTGATATTTTGCATGCAAACTAAAAGAAAATTACAACAACAATAATAATAACAGAAGCTGTTTTCCTGTATGCAATGGGAGAGTACCTTCATGGTCTCTTTTTCTTAGGAATTCTAACGAAAGTTAAATGCCATCAGTTTCAAAGGAATGATATTTTAGGAACTAGGATCTGGTTAGAAGGGCTTGGAGCTCTGCCATTAGCACCCCAAGATACAAAGATGCATGAGGATGTGCTTGGGGCTGTAGCTTGCTTGTGTCATGAAAAGTCCTGAAAAACTAGAATTCGTTTTTTGCTCTTTTCTGTAGGCATTTAAAATACTCTTTTCCCCCTCAAAACAGACAATTTTTAAAAATTGAAATATATTAGACATGTAACATTGTATAATTTTAAGATGAATACATTTATATATTGCGATATGATTGCCACCCTAGTCATAATTAGCACTTCTATCAAGTTACATAATTATTCCTTTTTGGTGAGCGGAATAATTAAGTTCTAGTCTCTTAAAAAGCTTGAATATAATATTGCTGTCATATTCATTACTCTGTGCATTAGATCCCTAGGGCTTATGTCATTAAATTGGTAACTACTTGTTGTAAGTTTGTGCCCTTAAACCTCATCTGCTCTCTCTCACTCCTCCTCCCCCTCTCCCCAACCTCTGGTACCCACCATTTACTCTGTTTTTATGAGTTTGGCTTTTTTAGATTCCTCACAAAGGTGACATCAGACAGCCCTTGTCTTTCTCTGACTTATTTCATGTAGCTTAATGTGCTCAAAGTCTCTCCATGTAGTTGCAAATGCCAGGATGTCCTTTCTCATATCTTAATAATATTTCATTGTAATATGCCACATCTTTTTTATCCATTCATCCGTCGATGGGCACTTAGGTTTCTTCCATCTCTTGGCTACTGTGAGTAATGTGAATAAACATGGGGTGCAGATCTCGTGTGAGATCCTAATTTCCTTTCCTTTGGGAACACACCCCGAAGTGGAATTGCTGGGTGACATGGTAGACACATTTTTAATTCTGTGAGGACCCTCCTTACTGTTTTCCACAGCGGCTGAACCAACTTCCATTCCCACCAACAGGGCACAAAGGTCTCTTTCCTCCACATTCACCAGCACTTGTTACCTCTTCTCCATGACAGCCATCCCACAGGTGTGAGGCGATATCTCAACATGGTTTTGATTTGCAGTTCCCTGGTGGTTAGTGATGTCCAGCATCTTTGTATGTACCTGTTGGCCATTTGGATGTCTTAGATAATGAATTCAAATTAGTTAGTGATAGCTTTCACCATCAAACAATATATTCATTTGCAAGTAGATTTTAAAAATAGTTCCAAGGCTCTTACAGAGACTGTGACTCTTGCATGCCACTTCTTCCTTTGTCCTTTAACTACCGCCTTCTGCACTGGGCATCCTTTCAAAACCAGGACAGAGAGGTGGGAGGTCGTATGTTAGCCGAGCAAACACGTTTAATGTTATACACTGAGGCCCTGTCAGTGATGTGTGGACTAAGACAAATTGGTAAATAGGTGGTCATTAGCCAGATTTTTTTTAAAAAGTATATTTTATTGATTTTTTTACAGAGAGGAAGGGAAAGAGATAGAGAGCTAGAAACATCGATGAGAGAGAGTCATCAACCAGCCGCCTCTTGCACACCTGGGATGTGCCTGCAACCAATGTACATGCCCTTGACCAGAATCGAACCTGGGACCCTTCAGTCTGCAGGCCGACGCTTTATCACTGAGCCAAACCAGTTTCGGCCATTAGCCAGATTTAATGAATAAAATATTTACCACCACTACCACCACCCCTTTTCTCTTATGTATAGACCACTGATTATATTAATGCAGCATTTAGGATGGCTTAGCACCTGCTGAGCTTTCTGCCTTCAGCATTATCACTGAGTTGCTCTAAGTGTCTGTCCTGCATACAGCTCAGACCCCAGGACAGCCCACTTCCACACATTATTCTAATATATTTAACAACCAGGCTCTTCTCCTTTTGCACCGAACAGGACAGACAATGAAGGCAGTCACTGAAAACCAGGAGCGCTGCTGGCATAACTGAGAACATCAAGGACGGGCACAAGGACAAAGGCCGGCTGCCCATGGACAAGGCTGGTTTCTCAGGGCGGAAGGCTTCGAGACAACGGGAGGACTTCCCTGTCGATGGGGCTTTCTCCCAAACTAAGCTGCACGCCCATCACTATTTCTCCTCGGAAAACAACATCCTGAGTGTCTCGGGTCAAGCGATTCCGACAGCGGAGGACCCTCCAGAGAGGACCGCACATGGAGGGACGTGCAGAAAGGCAGGCGCGGTCTGGACTCTGGGTAAAATGACTGAACGCGCTGCCAAGGAAAACTCTGACGAGGAGCAATGCTGCCCCCCAACTCTTCACGTCCCAGCGAAGAAAGGGGACCGCTCAAAGTCAGCCCTTTCTGACATTGTACAGCGTTATCTTTCCAAAGAGGAGCTTTTAAAAAGCCAAGGCAGTCCTTGGGAAACTCCCCCAGAGGTCTCCAAATCGGACAGTTTTGACGAAGCCATTGTAAAAAGTATTATCTTGCATTATGTTAACAGTTTTTGGCCAAAAGAACCGACTCCAGAATTCACTGACGAGCTCGATTCTCAGAAGGAGGATGACACGGGCAGTGAGCCCAGCTGTTGCCCAACCACGACAGCAGGAAACACCGCTGAGAGAGAAGAGCCAGTGACTGCTGGAGACGGCAGTCTTGCACAAAATTCCAATTTTCTAACTAAATCCAAGGATTCAAGCAATAAACAGAAAGGCTGCCAAGAGCAGAAACTGCAGACGGAAAACACAAGCTCAGGCCCTGGGTTCAAATATGGCCAAGTCTGTTATCGGTTCTCTGATCGCTATAGTGTTGCTCCACAAGTGAAAATCCCTAAAAATAATACGATTGATAAACCACTTCCAACAGACAGACAAGCCAGCTTTCCTCCTGAACTGAGAGCTGAATTAGCTCTTGGGCAAGAAATTCCAGAAGGTACGGCTAGGCCAGACCGTGCTGAGAAGGAAGAGCAGGAAAGGAAGACTGGGGACCCCTCACAGCAGACAGAGGTAGGAGAAGCCGCTCCTCTGAGCCAGAGCAAGTCTCTGGAAGGTGACTGACACCTGTTCCAGTTCTGAGGCTCTTGTTCCAGTTCTGAGCGAGTTCTGAGACCTCTCAGAAGCCCAGTGGGAGCCTCATGACAAGAATCAGCGGCTGGAATAACAATAACACATCATAGAATCAAATCCAAATTCTCCCACTTGGAATTTGAGTTCCCCCATCTTTTTAAAAAAATTTATGTTTTCATTGATTTTAGAGAAGGGAGAGGGAGAGAGAGAGAAGCATCAATGATGAGAGAAGATCTTTGATTGGCTGCCTCCTGCATGCCCCTGTCTGGGGATCGAGCCTGCAACCCAGGCATGTGTCCTGACCTGGAATTGAACCATGACCTCTTGGTTCATAGGTCAACATTCAACCACTGAGCCACGCTGGCTGGGTTTCTCTAGTCCTTTCAGGTTGGAGAACTGGACTCCATGGGTTCCATACCCATCGTGTGGTGGAGAAATTCCTAACACAGTCTGGAGTGACCACACCGTTTAGCTCCTGCACTGGCCTGTTTCTGAGGTCCCTGTGCTGTGAGCGATGGGCAGCCCCTCAAGGCGAATCACGCTGGAATGTAAACTCCTGTCCAGCCTTAGTGAGAGCAACAGACCTGGTGAAAAGGCCTCATGGGGCTTGTGGTCTGTCTTAGGAGAAATGTTTGCGTGTTCCATATAATAGCCTCAAACATGATAGTGTTAACAGCTAACATGTAGTTGGTGCTCACCAGGTGCCTGAGTCTAAGTACTTAACATTTACTCCTTATAAGGACCCCAGGAATAGGTTCTATTACTGTCCCCATTTTCAGGGAGAACTTGAGGGTTACGGTGATAAGTAATTGCCCTGGGCCACCCACAGATCAGTGTCAGAGGTGACTCAGCCTTGATGCAACACGGCTGCCTGGAGGACCAGAACCATCAGCCATTCTGAATAATGGCGTCCTTGATTACTATCAGCAGTAACACTTTCTTATCCTTTAATTATGCAGGTGCAGCCTGCAACACACAGCCACCAAGAACAGCTCACAGGTACGAGCGAGCGTTTTTCAACCTCTCTCATTCATATCCACGTTTAGGAGAAATTCTAAATAGCAAATGGTGGTGATGGCCACCGACGTCTATTTTCAGGACTTAATAAATCTGCGGTGAACTGGAGATGAACGGTAGCCCAGCTTATTCTCTCTTCTGTAGGAACGGAATCTGAGACCCGCCTCTGGAAGCTGTCACCGGCCTCTCAGAAAGACCCTTCCTCGATCTCTTCCATATTCCTCAAGATATCCCAAGGGAGAGAGATGTGCCAGAGGCTGAGAGAACAGACTGATCAGCTGAAGACTAAAGTAACCCCTTTAAAGATTATGAAGTAGATGTGACCAAATTCAAATATAAGATACCATGCCACTCGTGAAATATTGCTTTTTTTTCACTGCAGGTGCAAGAATTTTCCAGAAGCCTAGCACAGGACTCTCCTGGCCACCAGAAAGATGAGAGGCTGGTAATAAGTCCTTCCTGGGGAATCTGACCTGGGAAAGTACAAGGCCTCCCAGTGCTGGGCCTTCTCTGTAGGGGGCAGTGGAGGTGTTCGGGTGTAAGTTTTGTGGGGGGGGAGGTGGGGAGGGTTAGAGGGATTGGTTAAGGGCAGCAATCTTGTATCCATAGCCAAACGGCCCTCAGAGGCCTGGCCTTGGTCAGACATGGATAACTCTCTAGAATGCTAAATCAAATTGAATTAAGGTCCTTAATAACATATTTCAAGCTTGTTATATGGAAACTTGTACAGAATTTTTATGTTTCATTTATGAGATTTCCTCTGTTCCCTTCACCCATCTTCCCATCCCCCCACTCTCCTTCCCAAAGTGCTGAGGCTCATGGATTATTTGAGGTCTGGGGCTTCGTGTTACAGGAACTAAAAGAGCTTAGAATTTATGTGCTGAGCCCTCTCTCTTTCTCAGGGGATCTATGACGTAGGGCTGCTTGCTGTTTTTCTTCACCGGTTGCCCCATCATAAATCTGGGACCAGGGCAGGTCCAAGAGACTAGCACACCAGCTGTTCTAAAGGGTCACGGAACCCATCCAGAGTCGACGGGCCCCAGGAGATAACGGTTATAAGAATTACCAGGATCTGGCAGCTCAATATATAACACTTCAAACACTTAACATTGATCCTGAAGCTGTGCCTTCAGATAAAAATTTTGGAGTTCCACGTCCTTGCTGGTTGTAGTTAATCAAGTCCCTCATGTATGTTGTAATCACTACAGCCTTGCTCGTCAGTGCCTGGGTCATGGGAAGTGGGGGAGGAGCCTGGCAATGGGGCAGAAAGCTGAGATTGTGAGAGCCAGAAATGTGCAAAGTGGAAGATGTAGTCTAGGCCACTGGGTCAATCGCAAGACATGGTCACGAGTCCTGATGTAAAGGGCACAAGCAAAGCTCAGGCAGGTTGTGCTTCCGAGCCCAGATGGCACAAAAACCAGGAGGATCCGAACCTTAAGGGATGGTTCCTTATTCATTCATTCATCATACTAATTAAATAACTCATTCATACAATCAACAAACACTTATTGGGTGCTTCCCACGTCTCAGACTCTCTACCAGGGATTTGGAGATGGTGAAACTATTTATTTTTCTAGCAGCGGAGAGTCTCCTAGGAACACAGGTTGATAAACAGACAAGTGACTTGCAGCTTGAGAAAGGTTACAGGTGATGCTAAGGGCGGCTGAGAAGAGGCTCCGCCTTGTCAGTCAGAGCAAGGCACTTCAGAGGGCTTCCTAGGAGTGACTTCTGAGCCTGGTATTGTAGGAGGAATCTAAGTAAGCTTGGCAGGATAAGGTGCAAGGGGTGGTCCTGGAAAAAGAGCCAGCAGGTGCAGTGGCCCAGGGAAGAAAAGTGCTGTGCGGGTGAGGAACTGCATGGAGCCCAGGATACATGTGGTGAAGAGAGGAATGGACCAGACTAGAAAGGCAGACAACAGCTACATCAGGAAAGCTCTTTAAACCACCCTGAGGCGCTCAGATTTCACCTGGAGGTTGAGTGATGGGCAGCCTGGGGGTGCTTAAAATCAAGTAAAAGCGAACACAAGACTGCAGGGACAGAGCCTGGCTAGGAAGCCATATCCAGGGAACACATGCCTGGGTTGCAGGCTTGATCCCCAGTACAGGGCGTGCAGGAGGCAGCCCATCAATGATTCTTTCTCATCATTGATGTTTCTATCTCTCTCTCCCTCCTAAAATCAATAAAAATATATTTTTTAAAAATCTAAAGGTTTAATGAAGTGGGAGCAGATTGAAAGGGGTGAGTAAAGGAAGGGAGGAGGCTTGGATGACTTTCAGATTTGTAGCTTGGACAATCAAGGTCAGGAATAAAAGTGGAGGATCCAGTTCAGAATGGGTGTGGGAGGCAGGCAGGAGGCCAGTTCCGTTTGTGACACTGTGAGCTCCCTGTGGGACTTCCAATTGGAGAACTCCAGGAGGCAATTAGAGCGATGGATATGGACCACATGAGGGCTTGTTTGGGCCAGAAATGTACATGTGAGTCTAGTTGTGGCTTGAAGGGATGGGGTATAGGCAAAGACACAGAGTAAGCAGTGAATCCAACGTTAGAATCATGGGAAACAGCAATCCAGGGCAGGCGAAAGAGGCGAGGTCCCCAAGAAGACCTATGAGGAGTGGCTCTAAAGTTCAAGGCAGACATGGAAAGGGCAGAGCTGCAGAGGCTAAGAGAAAAGACGGAGTTAGGAAGTAGGGAGTGAGCCACATCCACACCCTCAAATGTTCAAGGAAGGAAGGAAGGAATGCACGAAGAGCCTTGGGTTTGGCAACCCGGAGGTCCTGAGGGACCTTGGCTAGCTCCATTTCAAAGCCAGATCCTCTAAGCTCAGTTCCCTTGTAAGATCTACGTGGCATCAGACGTACGCCCTAGAGCTCCGATTTCCTCCTCTGTAAAACCGGGGTAATCTACTTTGCAACATCTACAATACTGATGAGCAAATTAAGTAAGAAAAGCAATGGAATATGTTCTAGAAGCTAAAAATCATTCTGCAAACATGCAGGGATACTGACGCCCTGTGGAGAGGCCCTGTGTGGGTTCTGGGAGAGACATCAGAACCACCGAGCTTTGCGGCGTGGTGCTGCGAGTGAGGGTGACTGTGGAGACGGCCCCTGTCTGAATTTTACTTGTCAGACTCCAGGACAGAACAACGGCTGGGAGAAGGAGGATGGGCCCCACTGTGCACTGCTGCAGGGCACACCCTCATGGGTTTGGGGGAACAGCTCCACACGCAGGGGTATGTGTGAATGACACCAGGGCCTTCTCTGCCACAGGAGCTGGAGAAGCTGCAGGCGCACCTGGAACTGCTGAAGCAGGAGTTTGGGGCTGAGGAGCAGCTGGCTTTGGAGCAGCAAGTCCGCCAGCCTAAACCCCCAGCTGTCAGTGATTCTGATCCCAAAAGGTCAGGTTTAAACTGTGAGAGGTGGGGGGAGGGAGGGTTCAAGAAGAGATCTCCTTCAGGTGGGACTCGGCTGTGGCTGCTGGTTCAGTGCCCGAGAGCCATGAAAAGTCCCGAAAGGTCTAGGGCCAGTCAAGCCCCTGCCACCAATGAGTAGGTGTCACCGCATGTGCAGGACGATGGGGAATTCCTGCTATGTGGAAGGTCCGTGCTAGGGGATGACCAGATGGTGTGTCCAGAATGTGCCACCATCTTGCATTTCATGTGACGTCGTTATAATCGGTGCTGAGACCCAGAAGAGCACAAGAGCACTGTGGAAGGGCTCCCAGTCTAACCCAGAGGCCCTCCACCTCTCCATGTTCCTCCGTCCTCTCCCTCACCCCCCCATCCCCGCCCCAGCCCTTATTTCTCCCTCCTGGTTCTTCTCTTCTGTCTCTCTTCCTCCCGCTCCCACCCTTGCCCCACTCTCTCTTCCTCTCTTTCTCAACCACAGACCATTTCAAAGGGGCAGTGGGCAGGAGAGGATCGTTGTCAGGTTGGTTAATGTTGGGGTAAGGGACCCACAAATCCTGATAGAGGGAAAATGTTAAAACTTAAGTGATTCTTGAGCAAATCCACATCAGAACCTTGGGTGTATACTTACACTGAAGTTTCTGACTGGCCATTTCTATGGCACTACAATCCTCCTTCCAATCCAAATAGCTTTAAGATGTGTTCCAGGAATCAAGGCCGGCACTGTTTCCACGTAATTTCCTGCTATGAATTAAAAGAATCCATTCAGTGGGCTTAATACTCGTCAGGTCAGCTCTTTCTATTCATAGCATTTTAACACAAATCGTTCCTGATGTCGAAATAGTTTAATGGTTTGTATTTTTGCACTTGCATCCTGAGGCTTTTTCCCCAGAGGACAATTTTACTTTTCCAAAATGAATGAAACCTCTGTCTACTGTTATTTCGATACCAACTAATTAGACTGCAAGGATGGGGTTTTAATATTGATTTTCCCCCAAAAGCCTTTTTTTCCTTTCAAAATAAACAAACAAAAAGATCTCCATATGCCTTCTCTATTTAAGAGTGAAAAGAGTAAGGATATTTATTTTCCAAGGAATCCCACTTGTTGGCAGGGGTTTAAAGACAGGCCTCTGTGCACACGAAGACCAGAGGTATGCAATCCAGGCCTTATTTATATCCCAGTTCCACCCACACCGCCTGGCCCCTGGCATAAGCCAACAGAGTTCCAACTGCAACTATATCCCACACACAGGAGCAGCTCAGAAAACGAAGCTGCTCGGTGCCAGGCTGGTCCTGCTCTCACACGGGCGTAACCTGCCAATGAGCAGAACCCCATGCAACCCTGGAGGGGCTGGTATGCCGAGAACCTTCTAAGCCCTGAGACCAAAGGCCATTGCAGATAGCTTTTTCTGAAGGGGAAAGAATTCTGCAGATTCACTGGCTAATTGCTTGTTGAAGTTAACGGTTGCACTCTTGTGAAAACCTTATTATTATTGCCTTGAAAAGGTAAGATGCAAAAATAACTGTGGATTTCATGCATCTGGTTTGTTAGGAAGTTGTCTGAATTTTTCACACACACACACACACACACACACACACACAAAAAAAAAAAAAAAAAAAAAAAAAACAAGGGAATTAAAAACCTGATGAACAATAGTAACTGCTGAATATAATAGAATCAGAGGTATGGAAGGGGAGTGGACTGATGCTTCTCAGGGAAAAGAGGAGTGGGAGGTGCAGGAAGAGACTGAACATAAATTGTGCACCTATGGATGAGGACAATGGGGGGTAGGGAAAGGGCAGAGGGTGGGGATGGTGGAGGGGGGAAAAATGAGGAACTCTTGTAATAATAGGAACAATAAGGGTTTATTAAAAAAAAAAAAAAAGAATAAAAACGCCCCTCCCAAAACACACACACACACACACACACACACACACATACACACAAGAAAAAACCACTTTTATTACCAGCGCACCAGATGTCCTTAATAAAAATTCCATTAGAATTTTGTTCAGGATCGTGTTGAATTTACAGATTAGTTTGGGAGGAGTTAAAACCTTTGCAAGGAGTATTTGGGTCCAGGAGCTTGTTTTCTTCATGTAGATTTGACACATTTATTTTGTTGTTGTTAAAATTGAGACATTAGAAGCACCGAAAGATTAAGTGATTTGCCTGAGGACGCACAGCCAATGGATAGCAAAATAGGGATCAGAGCCCAGGCCTTTCCAGTGAAACGGAAACAGGATGCCCTTCAGGGCGGTTGTCCATTATGGGTCCTTTCCGAGGACAGACCATGTACTAACACAGATCAATGCCATGTTCAAGACCTGCTGTTGCTAGTTAGAATGTTGACTGCATACCCTATGCGATGTCTTCTATTTAGAAAAGCGGAAGGTGAAGTCTCCAGGTTGGAGACGCTACTTGGAGACGTTGAAGGGAAGGCAGATGAAGGCAAACACACCTCAGCTGGCTCTCTTCCCGAGAGTTCACCAACCCTCCCGGGTGACCTGCCCTCCGCCTCCTCTCCACCCTCAGATGAGGTAATGCATAGCCTACCGCCCAATTCCATGCCAGGAAACACGGTTCCTGTGCACTTATAGAACTCCCATTCATGGATTTACACAGTTCTACTTCTTATTTCATGAAAATTTAACTTCCCGAAGTGCCAGGAATCACATTATTTTCAATGGATCCAGCTTGCAAAAACTAGAAGCTATTTCACATGTTGGTTTTTAAAATCTCTTATTAGTTTAGGCTGCAGCAATGCAGTTGAAACCAATGAGCCGCTGAAGAGCTGTTTCTTCCGAACGGATAGTAACATTTCTGGGGATTGTGCCTGGAAGACATAATTTTTCTTCTTAATGGTTTTGTAAAAACTCTTCTAAATGACAATCACACTCTCAGTGCAAGAACTATTTCTATGAGTCCACATCTGCATTTTCTTTCTCTCAGCTAGATTCTTTTGGATTGTCTAAAGATGCAATATTAGGAATTCCAGTCCATCACCACTGTCTTTCTACACTTTTTGTTTTTTGTAGCCTCAACTATTAGACCATTTCAGACTAAATCCGGAGAAACTGAATTATCTGGATAATTGCCTTAATTTGATTCTTTGGTTTCAGTCGGTACGTGAAGTTACAGCCTGCAGCTGACATTCATTCAATAGGTTTTTGTCAGAGTCAAGGACAACATGTTGAGCATTATACACAGTGGTGGGCAAAAGTAGTTTGCAGTTTTGAGTACGTGAAACACAGATCTTTTTCTTGTATTATTATGTATTTTTTAATTGTTTTAATTTCCGAAGGAACTTTGTAAACTGTTTGCCCCACCCTCTATACATGTTAGCTTTTCCAACGAAGTATGTTCACATCCTCAAAACACCTAGCTTCCTGGCAAAATCTCATTCATTTTAAGGCCCAGCTTCAGAGTTAGGCCAGACAACCGGGAAAATATTAAGTGCAGATAAAGTTCAGTATGGAGATTTTTAGCACACAAAGAGCAGGACACAGCATATGGGAAAGGGGCAAGTCCCAGTCCTATGTGTTACTTGTTACTCTGGGTGACCTGGTCAGTTGCTTAAATTCTCTGAGCCTGAGGTTACTCGTCATTAAAATGGGAACAATGGCCCAAGATGGTGGAAGGAACAAGGAGGCCACGGGCAAAGCACCTGGCACAGGAGCAGTCAACAAATGCTTTAGTTTTAGTCATGAGAAAACCCTGAAACCTTCCCCCAAATCCATGGGCAACAGATGTGAACTAAAAAGCCTCAAGTAGGAAATACAACTAGTGAGCAAGCACCTGGGAAACGCTTATCTCTTTTCATAGCAGAGGAAATGCTCATGAACACAAGGCCCCACCCCCTTATTAAATTAACAAAAGCATTTCCAACTGATCATTCCTGATGCAGAGGAAGGTGTGGCCACCGAGTGGCCCACATGGTTGGTGGCTGTGTAATTCCCACTGTTGTGGAAAGCCATTTGGCAGTTCCTGTCATCACACAAACATGTCCGTAGCCTTTGACCCAGACGTTTCCTAAGGAAGTCATTCACACGCGGAAAGAGCCTTCTGCACACTGCTGCTGGTGCCTGTGCTGTTTATCACGATAAGCAGAGTGCGCTTCTCCTCTGTTCACCTGGGGCGGGGCGGGGAGCATCCAGCCCGCAGGCCGCAGGAGGCCCCGGAAACCATTGGGTCTGGCCCTGCCAAGGCGTTAGGGTGAGCTAATTAAATGTCTGACCAGGTGTAGCAGGCTCATTTTTAAGCTCATAATTTTGCACGGCCCTCGGATGATGTTATAAATATCCAGAAAAAAAAAAAGGTTCCCCACCGCTGAAAAGAGTAAAACCACAGTAAGAAACACAGGGTGGTGTCAGCCCTTTCAGGCCAGTTATGACGTGTTTTTTTTTTGTTTTTTTTTTGGGGGGGGGGATTAATACCCTAAACCTTGTTTTAATTCTTAGTGGATTGCATTTCTTTGGGAAAGTTTTCAGAGCTCTCCTAACTGATGGCCGGATGGATAGATTTAAAGTTAACTTCTAACATCTGTTCCTCCTCTGGTGGAGCTTGGGGTAATGTGAAACCAAAGGATAAGAAAAGGGGAGAATACCCTCTGTCTGTACAGGAGATTTAAACTCTGCTTGGGGAGGGAAGAAGACAGTATGTTGTGTTGAAGGTTCTCTCTCTGAGCCCTGGCCTCCAGCACAGACCACGGCGGGAGGAGTCAGAGCCGGGCAGTCTGCGGTGGAGAGCGGCGAGCCTGAGCTGCTTGCTGGGCAGAGCTGTGCGTGAGGGTGAGCAGCCAGCGGCTGAGTCACTTCCTGGGTCACAGCCGCATCTGTGTGCTTTGTGGTGCAGGACCCCAGCCACGCCTCCGCCTCCCCCGGAAGGCAGCAACATGCAGAGACAACCGGCTGGAGCTGTGCCCTCTGCCACCGGGTCCTCGAATGGTGAGGGCTTCTGGCTGCTAAGCCGCCGGGTGGGTGGGAGCCGGGCCTGGGATAATGCCTTCAGTGAGAGTGGGCGTCAACTCGCTGACCGGCTGCCAGAGCCACTGGCCCAGCTTCAGAACCGCAGACCTCGGGGCTGGGCACACAGCCCAGCCTCCCTCCCAGTTACAAGTCCCTGTGGCTGTGGTTCTCCTCTGGGGACAGCATCAAAGTCACCGGGCAGATGTTTAAATCATGCCCACGCCTCAGCCCCACCTGAGACATCCTTGCCAGGGTGGAGCCTGGGAGGAATTCTTGTTGACATCTCCTGGGTGATCCTGATGAGCCTCTGGGTGAGAATCTCGGCTACAGCACGCGGAGGGTGGTCTGTCCTGAGGGCTCCTCTGGACACTGCCAGGTGGGATAGTGTTACCCACCCCCATCCACCAGCTCCCCACCCCTCCCCTGAGGTGAGGGAAATTCCCTGTTGGGTTCCCCCTCTGCTCCCTGGTCCCACCAGAAATAAACCTTATCCCATATCTCAGGGCTTACTTCTCCCCATTAGCCAGCATGAAATCTTCAAGTTAAAAATCGTGTGTACAGATATAAAACCCTACAGACCTCTGTAACGCTTTGGAAATGCTCCTTGAAGCAGCTGTTGGCCCATGGGAATTCATTTGAAGCTTCCATGGACCGGGCCAAAGCCTGGCTCATTTACCTGGGGAAGGTCGGGAGCAAGGAGGGCAGAGCGGTTTGGCAGCCACTGTTACATGCACGTCATGGACTGATAGCAGCTGACGAGGAGTCCCATGGCCTGGCGTTTCCTGAAAGAAAGCATTCCCCCACGGGAACCGCACTCAACACAAGTGTCCCATTGAGTTTGGGCCCCGCCTCCCGCTAGAGAAACACAGGGCGTTTGTGCTGACATTTACTGGTGTCACCTGGTGTGGCTCAGGACTTTAAACCACCCCGTCTGTCCTCAGCTCTGACTCTAACCACAAGGGGCACTGCTGTGCTTCCTCCCGAGTCATCCCAGCCACTGTTTCTATTTATTGAATTAAACCTAGATTCTGAATTTTTTTTTTAGGTTTTATTAAGTATAAAAAATTGTTATGCTTAAAGATTCAAGGTACTAAATGTTTCTCTTCCAAATTCCTAGCGTAGACCTAGAGGGACCAGTGTTCTAGACTAAATAGACGTTTCTATGGTAGACAAGATGGAGAGAAAAGCACAACCAAGTATAAAATCAGTCCTAAGAGTGAACTTACTGGTGAGGAGACAGACATGATTTACAAGCTGCAACCTTGGCCAGTGCCAGATAGTCCCGGAGGCATGAACTGAGCACAGGGCTCCCTCAGGTCGTGTGGGTTCTTTGCAAAGCTTGCTGACGGACAGGATGCTTGCAGGGTATGTGCAGGGTGGTGTGTATGCACCAGGCAGATGGCATAGATGCTGCATGCAAATGCTTATCCCTTTGTGCTGTTTCTGTGGCGGGACTGGATGTAAGCCACTAAAACTATCTTCTCAGGCCGAGCTGCTCTGAGCTGTTACATTTGGCAGGAAGATTTCAGCGCACAGAGACGCTTAAGAGGCAGAAAAAGAAAGTCGCGTTGGACTGAACTCACTTGAGTGAGATCCAAGTTTCCCACTTCGGAGAGCAGATGTTCAAAGGCCCCAGAGGAGGGGATGGGGAGGGAAAATGGGGTGTGAGGAAGTGTGACTCAGGAGGACTGCGTGTTTTTCCAAGAGCAGGGGAAAGCCTTGGCTTCCCAGCCCCAGCCCCACAGGCACAGCGAGACCGCATGCAGCATGGGCCAAGCAGCACCCTCCCCTGGGAATCGCTCTCAGTCTTGCCTCACCCTCTTGGTCCAGGATCCCTTGGGCTTCCACACAAAGAATGAGCACCTTCCCCCGGGGCTATTCCTGTGCCCAGGGGCTAAGTGAGAGCTTTAAGACCTGTTAGTGGGATTCCTTTGGAGGAGTTAAGCTTTCTGTGCCGGAGGGAGACTGAAGCAACAGGTCAGAGGAGCAGCTGGTAAATGACCACTGTAGGGCATCTTTCTGATGCCCCCTGGTGGCCTGTCCAGATAAAATTAAGCTCAGATGTTCCCTAGCCTCTAGACCAAGCCATAAACTTGGGACAAAATCCCCTTTATGGACTCTTGGGATACAGTCAGTTTGCACTTATAGAGTCAAAGCCATGGGACCCAGAGTGGCATACAAAACTGATTTTGACACGTGAATATGAAAAAAACTCTCCAAATTATTAAATTCCAAACTTAACATTTCTATAGTATGTATGATGATTAGATATTAGCCTCTGGGGAACAAACAGATTCACTTTTTTTTTTTTAATATTTCCTTTTTTAAGGAAAAATACATTGTTGATTTCAGAGATGAAGGTAAAGGAAAAGAGACAAACATCAATATGAGAACCATGGATCGGCTGCCTCCTGCAGGTCCCCTACTGGGGGGTTGAGCCTGCAACCCGGGCATGTGCCCTTGACCGGAATTGAACCCAGACCCTTCAGTCTGTTGATTGACGCTCTATCCACTGAGCCAAACCAGCTAAGGCCAAACAGATTCACTTTCGATGTTTGGAAACTCTGCCCTTATCTGGCGAAACTGCACTTCCCCAGGAGAAGGTACCACGTCTCCTGGGGAAGCTCACAGGCAGGGGGACCCCTGGGAGAATGACCTGCCCCTGCTGTCCTTGCCAGGCTGACATAAGAAATGCAACGTGTCACCGTTACCACTACGCTATCTCTATTCAGGGTCTACTGATGGTTCATGGGGTCTATGCGCCTTTTTAGGAAGCAAAACCTGGAGAAGAAAGGCCACAGAGGGACCCGCTGTGGAGGGCTTCCCACTGCCCGTCAGGAAAAGGCACCACATCCAGATGCACTTCTCAGTAAGTGGAGGGGCCTGGGGCTGTGGGTGCTCAGTCTGCAAGGTCCCTCTCTGTGGGGTCGGCTCATGGTGGGCGCCAGCTTGCCATTGGCCACTCCAAACAGCATTGCCTAGGCTGCAGGGTTGCACGGTTTTGGTTTTTGTTTTTTAATATAAAGAATTAAAAACTAAATGATTTAAAAGATGTAGTCAAGTAGGTGAACGTGCCAACACCTATTTCTGGCCGGCACCGCAGGACTGCATGGACTCGGTCCCTGGGTGGCCTCAGGGGTGTGTCATCCTGTCCAGCATGACCCACGTGTACCTGTAAGCTTCCCGCCGCGCAAGAGCTGCTGCCCACTTGTCCATGCACGTGTTGGAGAAACACAGTCAGAGCTGGGAGGAGACCTAGAGAGCACAGTGCATGGAATTCAATCGTTTTAGTCCTAGGAGCCTTCCCCAATGTGAATGGGTGCAGAAATACATCCTCTGGCAGCTCTGCCCTGAGTGGGGAAGAGGGGGGCTGGGCCTGCCTGCTCAGGCAGCTCCTGAGTGTGACAATCACCCCGAGCCTCATCTACCCCATTTACACACGAGGAACTGGAGCCAGAGAACAAACAAGGATTGTGCTCAGAGTGCTTACCTTCATACAGCCTGTTAGCCAAGAGCCATTCCCCAGCTCCCTGTTCTGTCACATATAGTTCTGGTATTTGTTCTCTGTAGATGATACATTTTGTGATAATAGATATAGGTGTCATTGATTGAACACTTACTATACCACATGCTATAACAGAGCTTTTCAGAGTGTGGTTGAAGGCCTCTGGGCGTCCCTGAGACCCTTAAGGGACCACAAGGTCCTCTCCTTTCTAACCACTCTGTACCTGGTATATTGGAGCCAGGCCACTGATTCAACGGTGATGCAGCTATGAAACCCAGCTGTCTTCTATTAACCCAGATATTCAGGATACTTCCCAAGACATAACATATGCCTTTCTCCTAACATTTATTTTCAAAAAGTTAGCTTTTGTTAAAAAGATTCTCTGTTAATAAGAAATGGATTATTGTCATTTTAAATGATACCATAAGTAAAATATTTTTTAGATACTTCAGTTTAAAAACAATTTTTTTTTTTAAGCTTTGGGACAACCCATACAGTCTGGAAAGATCTGAGTGATTCAAGCAAAAATTATTTAGTTTATCTATAGATATTTCTCTACCCACCCATCTTCAGCTGACTGACTGCTAAGGACAGCTCTTCTCCAGTGCAGGGGGACATTCCGCCATAGGCACAGAAAATGGTGTAAATCGTGACAGATGGCAGGACAAACTACATCAACAGAAATATTCTAGGGCCCTCAATTTTATGTGTGCAGAAGAGCTATGAAAGCAAAAGTTTGAGAACTGTTGACATAGTATATATAATTGAACTGTACAACACCCATGTAAGGTAGGAATTACCTTTAGAGATAAGGAAATGGCGGCTCAGAAAAATTAAGTGGCTTGCCAGGGTCAAAGAGGTGGTGTATCATTATCTACTGCTGGGTAGATAGGAGGACCCTGAAACAGACACACATGCTACCCACCATGGGCCTCATGTGGCACTGGTGAGGGCACAGCAGATTCAGGTTCCTACATGGGCCTATGAACTGATGTGGGGAAAACCATCTTTCCAACCGACAAAACACGAGCTCCTGGCCACTGCAGGGCTGAGAAGAGAACGTGGATCTACTGGGGCAAATCTGGAAAAATGACGCTAAATGCAAGATCGCCTGATAACTCAGAGGGCCAAATTCTCACAGGCCCACCTGCTCCGCAGACTTTACTAAGCACCCACGAGTGCTAGGCAAATGGAGGCTCTTATCAGAACACCTCTCTGCTGTCGGGAAGGGACCCTGACTGTCACTCCTGGGCTGGCAACTCCCCGTGGTAACCATGGGGAAGTGAAGTACCGGGGTGTCTAGTGCAGACCTGGCTCAGTTCGAGCTCTGCTCCCCCCCCCCACATTGTATAGCTACAACGAGACTCTCACCTCCTTTGTGTAATTTGAGTTTCTTCAGGTCCCGGTACAGGACTCAGCAGCTCTTCTGCTCCCGGCGCTGGGCTGCAGAGCAACCCATGTGAGACCTGTGGCACTAGGACTCCCAGCTGCCCTGGAGGCGGCCGTAAGCAACCACTCACAGGTCAGGGCGACCGGGGAGCCTCCAAAGAGGTCAGAAGTGGGGGCAGCTGTTGTTACCAGGCAGTGGGTCATATTTGTCATCTTGCCTTTTCAGAATTTCATTACAGATACAACACCCCGGGACAGAATTACTCAAATCAGAGCGAAGGAAGAGCCTCTGTCCAGCTCCGTTTTTTAAGTGAAAACGAAAATTCTCCACCTTGTAAGTACGCCTCCTCCGTGATCCCATCTTTGTGAACCCACACTGCTCCTTCCTCTCCTGTCTGCTACTCCAGCAGGGGAGCGACGCCTCGCTCCTAGAGACCAGGGGGTAAGACCGGAGGCCTGGAAGGAGAAAGAGGGGAAGGTGGAGGACGGAGGAGGAGGAAGAGGGGTGACTTTAATACATGTATCTTCTGTTTAGTCTCTGTTTTCTAGAATTGTCCTAGTGGCTTAATTTCTGACTCTTAGAACCCTTGCTCCTAAAGTCGGGGGGAGGAGGGGGAGGACACTTCAGGAATCCAAGTGGAAGATATTACCTCTCTGAAGATATTACCCCTCCACCTTCAGATCAATTCACTGAGCCCGGAAAAGTTAGCCACATGCCCAGTCGCACAGCTAACCCAGGGATCCTAGACTCCAGGTCTCTTGTCTGCTAATAATTCCTTTTAAAAATGGAATTTCTTTCCTGAATTCTTTGACTTCAGAATACTTGATACAAAGGTCTTTGTCTCCTATGTTCCCCAATTTTATTTATTAAATTTTTATCAAATGTTTCATTCACAACAGAGAAGTTCAGAAAGTGATACCCACATATCCATGATTTGGGGATCGTTTCTGAAGTGCAGAATTTAATCAGAACCAACATTTTTCAGCTTATTCAAAACCAAACTGGATCTGTTCCCGGAGGGCAAATTCAAAATCCTCTCAAGATGAGCCTGAGCCCACACCAGGAAAGTAAGTATCCCTTTCTCATTAGCAATGATGACAAGAATGGACACCCATTGGTTGGGTGCATACAATGTGCCTAATGCACCCACTTACCTCCCCAAGAGCAGCTAGATCCTAAGTAGTAGAGCCGGGATTTGAACTGAAGCCTGGCTAAGACGTCAGTCTCTCATTTGTTCACTCACCACGTTATCTGAGTGTCCACCACGGACACGTGCTAGCTGCTGACCAGTGACAAAGGGGACTCGGTCCCTGCCTTCATGCAGCTCAATTCTTGGGAAGAGGAGGCTGTGTGTGTGAGTGCCAAGAAGGGGGTCACTCCAAGTGCTAGTATCTGATATGGGGGTTCAGGGAAGCTCAATTCCAAAAATTAAATATGATTGACTTAGCAAGGAGAAAAGGGGGGGGGGGGGGAGAACCTTCCAGTCTAAGTGAGCTTCCGATGTGGGAAAGCCCTGATGTGGGAACCGCCTTTTTCTGAAGCTCAGCTGTGGTCACCTACAAGACACTGACAGCTGCTGCCGTGGAGGGTGCCGGCCTCCCCACCAGCACACAGGGCGCCCTGCACCCCAGAGCCGAGCGAGGGTGGCGCTTCACACGAGTATCCATGTGCTCTTGCCTTCCAGAAAAAACCTTAAGGCTCCCATGACCTCCACTTCAGACCTGGCTACCTCCTCACCCCATTTCCACTCTGGCAGGGTTTCTGGAAGCAAATCCTTAAGCGAAGAAACAAAATCTGAGGTGAGGACTCAGAAAAACATTCTAGAATCCTTGCAGCTCGTAAGTATGGCCTTGCTGACCACAAAATTGACGGCTTCTAAATTATTACAGTATGGAGCACCCAAAACTGCTCTGCTAAACACGGTGTGTGCTCAGCACGAACACAGAGACACAGGGCCTGAGCAGCCACGTGGTGTGTGCTACTCCTAAACCGGTTCCCAGGGAATCTGTGGGCAGTGCCTCAGCTACAGGACCCCAGGACTGTCCCACCGACACTGGGCTTACAGCTGCGAGCCACTATTTTTTTCCAATCAGAAACTCGAATCCCAGGCCACTTCCCAAGGCCTCTGCACATGTGTGATCATGTTCCCAAGTCCCCTTCAGTGGCCCCAAGAACTTTCCTTTTCTCAGATCTTTCTCGACAGCAGGGAAAGGGCCCAGCAGGTTTCTGACCTCACCCTCTGATTCATGCTCATCAGTCACGTGTCTGTCCTTTTTCTGTCCCTTGCCCTAAAAAACACCTTCCATCTCCAACTGGTTTCCGAGGAAACCAACTCTCAAAAACAGAAACAGACCTGGTGGAAAAAACAGAAACAGAGCAGTGGAAAGAACAGAAACAGACGGGGTGGAAAAAAGAGCACTCCTGAATCCACCTGGCAGCGTGTGCTGAAAAAATCCAAACAGGGACAGTGGCAAATGTGTGACTAACACGTGCGCGCTCGTCCCCCGCAGGGTTTAACTGCGTCTCTGGACCATGCCCTGAGGACAGCAACCATTTTGAAAAAAACGACTGATCAAATGATCAGAACTATTGCAGAAGATCTCGCCAAACTGCAGAGATGGAGGAATCGAGTGAAATACTAGTTTGATGCAAGGTGACAGGGGATTTGAGAAAAAAAAATAAATAAATGCAAAGAAAACTTAATCTTCCCCTCAAAGTATTTTACTTATTACACAATTTAGAAGGATAAGTTTCTACAGAAAACACCAAAACCGTAAGAAACGGGAAACACAAAAGTACTTAAATGAGAAAAAAGGGACCTTTGATTCTGATACTCAAAATCAACACGTATTTATGTTAAAATAAATCTGTTATTTCTAACATAATAAGAGAAATCAAAACAATAAAACATACTTTTAGCTATTGGTATGGGAAAAAAAAAAGTTGGAAAACCCAGTGTCAGTGAGGCTGGGGGAGACAGAAGTATAAATTGATGCAAATTCTATCAAATTGGACATGTACTTGACCTCGAGCAGCATCCCACCACTAGCTGTTTACTTCACAGGTGACTCACCCAACAGGCCATGGTGTGTGAGGGAGGATGGCCATGTGGCACGGATGGGAACAGCCCCAACTGGAACTAATCTAAACACCCAGCGTGGCCATTCGTAAACAAAGATGTTTGTCATACAATTCACACTCTCAGCCAGGGAAAAGAATGAGGTGGGTTAACCTTCAAGATGGCGTGCAGGGGAAGCAAGATGCCTAATGATGCTCAGGTGTGATCTTTTGTGTATGGTTTCAAAGGGCACACACACTACTGGAAAGCACACAGAAACACCGAGTGGGCCTCTAGGAAGTGGAAGCGGGAGTTCTATGGGGAAGTGGAAGGACTTCACATTTACTTTCTGTAGTTCTTACAAAATGCTGATAAATCATTTGGTTAAAGATCACTTGAAGTCAGAAATACACAAAAATGACAGTCCTAGCTCTAGGTTCATGAAATTTGAGGCAAAAGTGAAGACAGTTCATTGTAATGGTGTACTCATTGGCTCTTTCCCGAGGCCTCCATTCACTCCAAAGTCAAGAAAAGGCTTTCCGCCCCGGGGCTGTGCTCAGGGGGAGAGCTGGATCATTCCCACGGAGAGGGTTCTGTGGTGACCAGCAGCTGCTGTTTGTCCAGCTGGCTGGAGAGGGGGTTATTTTTAACTTTGGGGCTTGGAAATTAGTTTGGGTGCCTTGGGAGAGAGAGAGCACAGAGGCCGGTCTCAAGACTCCTCTGACTTTGTGGCCAAGTTCACTTTAGGCTGCGGCACTGAGAGGAAGAGTGAGGGCTGTTGGTCGTATTTTAAGAGGAAAAAAATGGGGCTTAAACGATGTGTGAGCTGAGGGGCTTCTAGCTTCATCACAGACCTGAACTCATCACAGCCTGAGAACCTGTCTGTGTGCCAAGCATCGCCATCTTGTCCCCAAGTTCAAAATCACACAACTCTCTGGCTTAAAGTGTTCTTAGGCCACACATTGATTCTTGACCTTTCTGGGGTTCAAAGCTCTTTGGGATCTGATGAAACCTGTGGCGTCTCCCTCCCTATGCGCCACTCACTCCCCCATGAAAAAGCGATACATGAACAGGCACCCGATTTTTACAAGCCCATGGAACTGTGGTTAGAAAGCGGCGCCATCAGTGACCTTCCTGACCCCTCGGATTACCCTTTGGAGGAGCTTGCTGCTGCAATCATTTTTCATTTAAAAACACAACCCACCTCAGCCATACTTAGCCGTATTCTAGATGCAATTTCCCATCTCCTTGATGACTGAGGGCCTTAGGAACAGTCAGTGCAACATGACTCATGCGAGGAAGAGAGAGAAGTAGGGCAACCTCTGGGCTTCTGCGGAAGCGCTACAGGCTCTGATTTACAAAGATAAAGAGAGATTTACTGATGCTGTAGCTTTGGCTGTGGCCTTCCTCACGCAACCTCTTTGTGCCAATGCTGATAGCCCTCTCTTCTAATTCTGCTGCAGGAATAAACCAGAAAAACAAGCTTGTTAAGCGAGTGATTATATCTCCAAATGCTGAGTCACAGGCTCGGGACTGCCGGGGGCAAGGGTGTTGTAAAGACACTTGGCACCCTCCACAGCGCAGGCCTCTGTGCTTGCTTCCTGCTTGAGGTGCCAGGACCAAGACAGCGGATGAGGGGTCAGCTTGTAGAATTGTCCCCTCTTTAGGAGAAGTTCTAGCCATCCACTTTAACTACAGTACACAAATGAAAACTCATCTTTTCACTATCATTCCTATTCAATCTTATTGTTAAGAATTTCTTAAAATAGACTTAATACATACTAAATATGAATATGTATGTATCTATATTTAATACCCAAATGTTTGGTAATAAAACTTTGCTTTGGAAAGCATATCTTGCTCCTTTGATTTTAAAAGAAATCGGCTTGGTCCTAGCAAGTTTGGCTCAGTGCATAGAACATCGGCCTGCAGACTGAAGAGTCCTGGGTTTGATTCCAGTCAAGGGTACATGCCCAGGTTGCGAGCTCGGTCCCCAGTGGGGGCGTGTGGGAGGCAGCTGATTGATGCTTCTTTCTCATCATTGACGTTACTCTCTCCCCCTCTCCCTCTGAAATCAATAAAAATGTTTGAAATTTAAATCGGCCCGCATCCGGATGGGATTTGAGGGGTGCCAGACCACACCACAGCCGAGTTACAGAGGCATCACATCCAACAACACACACTGCCAGAACCTGGGCCCTTTGGGCTTGAATCCAAAATTTTTGTGTCATGAACCACTGACATTTTTCTTCGTTCTTATGAATATGGCTGAGCAATGTGAATCCACTATACTTTGCAGACCAAGCACACTTCAACAGGCAACAAAACCATGCTTCAGAGAGTGTGTGATATCCACACAAGGACAAAATTACCTAGAACATATCCCTGCTGTCAAGCAGTGCATGCAACAGTACTACCAACCTTACACATATATTACATTCCTTTTTAAAAAGTTAATGGGTTGCCAAATGGGTTGGCTCAGTGGAGAGAGCATCAGCCTGTGAACTGAAAGGTCCGTTTGATTCTGGTCAAGGGCATGTACCTTGGTTGCAGGCGCATCCCCAGTTGAGGGGGTGCAGGAGGCAGCTGATCGATGTTTCTCTGTCGATGTTTCTGACTATCTCTCTCTCTTCCTCTCTGTAAAAAATCAATAAAATATATTAAAAAGAAAAAAAACAAACCACTACAAAACTGTCATTCTTCAGAGTATTCAAAAAAAAAAGTTAATGGGTTACCTTGGTGGGAAGATTATGGTGCATTTCCTTTCTTCTAATTCCTTGGCTTAGAACTTTTAGACTTCCTCTACCTCTCCCCACCCAAAACAGAGATAATTTTGTGACTACATGTTTATTTTTTCTTAGAATATTCATGAGTATTTTTGTTTTTCCAATTTAAACATATATGATTTCAAAGTTATATAAAACTGTGTTCTTAAGAAGTATCTAGCAAGACAGTACATACTGTAAAATCTTTCTAATTTTACAACTGAATTATTTTACACATAAAGGAAATTATAAATTTCAGTTGAAAGAAAAAAATCTCATGTTTACATGTATAAATCTATATCATACAAACACATTTACAGTTTTTAATTTTATAACCTTTTCAATTTAAAATCATCCTTTCCCCAAAAACTATACTTCAGTATAAAACAGATAAGTATCTAACAAGTCATTAGTATGTACATAAGTGGCTGTAAAGAATTACTGACAACTCATATTCTATTCCAAAGCTGAAAACATGTCCTTTTAAAAGCATTTTAATATTTCTTCTCATCAGCAACAAAATATCAACAATGTTTAAATTAAAAGGGTCAAATCCAATTATATGTAACCATAAGCAGTCCTTTTAAGAAATATATTTGAAAAGTCATTATTCCATAAAATATTTACATTGTTGAAACTGCATAAAAGCAACACTGTCCTGATCTAGTTTAGTTGGAAGAATAAGAACCACCCCACCCCAAATACTATTCATCCTTAATAATGGAGACTTTATCCTTGGATTTATTCAGCATCTTTATGTCATCCAACAGCTTTCTGGGTGTTAAAATATGGGTAGAACCTGGTAGGAAAAAAGGTAAATTTCAGAGACCAGCAGTTAAATCGCTTTTCTTTGGCTAACTATATTGTCCTGTCTTTCAAATATACAAAGTTAGTATAACTTGGAGCATTTTAACAAAATTCCTATAGGACACCTTCCTGAAATCTGTCTATACTGCAGTATTTCAATCCTTCCTCTACATTGAACATGCTCAGTAAACCATCAGAAATACTGCCCCCTCCTGGTGCTTTGTCTACCTTGTACTATATAATATAACGATAAACTGGGGAGCAAAACTGGAGGTTATTCTACCCTCGTGACAAGAACAGTCACTGTTCAATCACAGGGAACCATTAGGCAGTGCTGAGGACTGAGGCTGGGGCCAGGAGAGTTTGTATATCAGTGGCTTTGACTAAAATTCTTAAAACTAAATTCCATATACAGCCTTTGACAATGTCAGGTCCACATTCACAAAACAACTAAAAATATTTCTGTAGAAGCGTCTCCAAAATTATTTAACGATGAGAGCAAGAAAAATAAAGAACATAACGTTTTAAAGAATATATGTACTAATATTTAAAGAATGTAGCAATTTGAAGCTCATTCCCTCAAAAAACGAATATCCTAAAATATAAAAACCCAGGTTCTGCTCGACCAACCAGAAGTCAGTGCTGGGTCACTACAGCATTGGCTGCCACTGTTGAGGATGCAGCGACCCAGCACTGACTGCCGAGAGGGTTGCGGATCAGGCCTGGAGAGAGGCCGGGAGAGAGAAGCAGAGTCTCCATAGCCTCCACGGCAGCTGTTGATAAGCCCTTGCCTCTCACTTTCTCTCCAGGCCTGGCCAGCAGCCGTGCCTCTCTTTCTCTCTGGGCGTCCGTGGGATCTGCTGATCAGCCCTGCCTCTGTGATCAGGCCCGGAAACACTGAGTGGCATAGAAACCAACCAATCAGAACCTAATCTGGGTGAACTGCAAAGGCAGAACCTAAGGTGGGAACTGAGCAGGGGTTTTAAGGGCAATAGCTGTTTGGTCTAAGGTGTAAGAAAGCGGTTCAATTTTTTAAAGATTAGTTTGGCATTATAGTGCATATGGCTGACTATCAGTCCAGATATAGGGATTATGTATTTTTGTCTGCCAAGAGCATCTCCTCCTGCTGAAAAAGGCTCCTCCCCCATTTAAGCAATCCTATCCTATATAATATATCTATACTAATAAAAGGGTAATATGCTAATTAGACCGGGAGACCTTCCAGACAAAGCCATGGTGGTGGGGCCAAGGCAGAGACGGTTAGGGGCAATCTAGCCAGCAGGGGAGGGCAGTTGGGGGTGAGCAGGCCGCCGGGGGGTGAGGGAGAGGGAGGGGGGAGTTGGGGCAGCTGGGGTTGATCAGGCCAGCAGGCAAAGTGGTTAGGGGTGACCAGGCAGGCAGGCAGAGGCTGTTAGGGGTGATCAGGCAGGCAGGCAGGTGAGCGGGTTAGGAGCCAGTGGTCCCAGATTGCAAGTGGATGCAGGCTGGGCTGAGGGATCTCACCCCTCAATCCCCGTGTGCAAATTTATGCACCTGGACACTAGTTTAAAAATAAAATTACCCAAAGGACAACCAGGAAAAATCTCTAGTACATCAGATGAAATACACTATGATTAAAACAAGTTGTCCAGCTTTCAACAATTTAGTTCTAAATGTAAAGTACAGAATAAAGTTTTACATATATATTTTTACATTTAGAGTTTGTTTAATGTAATAGAAAAGAGGCAAACAAGTCTTACCAATAATAACTCCACAGGATTTGTGTGCCTGAGAAACTTCGTAAGCACAACGCATTTCAGAGTACGTAATTCCTCCAATAACAAAAACAATCAGTGTGGACCCATTTTTTCGGTCTTCCAAATAATTAGTTCTGGGTTTCTGGCGAGCACTAAAAAACAAAAAAATAAAAACAATACAAATGCTCTCAAAGTCTTACTGCTTACAGACTTTTCAAAAAGCCTAACTCAAGCAAATTCAGATTTGGCACCGGTGACATAATTTTAAGTTATGACTTAACTATGTATGAAAGAACTCGGCACCAAGAATTGGCAGCACAATTCCACTTCAAGATTAATTTTGATCTGATAGTTCGGACAAATCACTAATAATCTAGCTCAGCATGTTTACCTATAAAATAGAGCTAAGTCCCTCTCTTATTTATTTCCCTTGAAGCAGTAATATACCTGAAGTCTCTGGCTTCTTGAAGTCAAAGAAATAGGGAAATAGTGGTAAAACAATAGGATTTTAAAGATATGGTGGGGTGGGGGGTTCGCAGGAGCTGATGTATTGGGACATCCCTTGCTAAAAGTCAGTCGAGTATGATGGTGGGAGGTACAGAAGACACCTTACTCCCATATTCACAGCAGCATTATTCACAACAGCCAACACAGGAAACAACCTAAATGTCTGTTGACAAGCAAGTGGATAAAAACAATGTGGTGTGTATGTATAACGGGATATTACTCAGCCTTAAAAAAAGAAGGAATTCTGCCATTTGCAACTATATAAATGGACCTAGAGGGCATTAGTTTAAGTGAAATAAAGACAAATACTGTATGATCTCACTTGTATGTGGAATCTAAGATAGTCAAACTCACAGATGCAGAGAACAGAATGTTAGCTGCCAGGGGCTGAGGGGAGTGGGAAATGAGGCGATGTTGGTCATAGGGAACACAGTGCAAGATGACTAAGTTCTAGAGAGCTAACGTACAGCAGGGTAACTAGAGTAATCAAAGCTGCATCATATACTTGGAATTCGCTAAGAGGATAGATCTTAAGTTAAATCTTCTTACCACACACACAAAAAAATATATAAAAGGACAATACTTATGTAAAGTGATGGGTACATTTGTAGTGATCTTTTTACAATATATACATATCAAAACATCAAGTTGTTTTTAAATGCATCAAAGCATATACAAAGTTAAGTCAATTATATATACTTTAATAAAGCTGTAAAAAAAAGAATTAGACCAGAGTTTTGACTCTGATTCTGCTTTCTAATTCAGTTATGACTTTCAGTAAGTTACTTAACTGCTCTCTAAACTGTAAGGGTTGTTTTCAGTTTAAATGAAGTAACATATAGAATACACGAAGTATGGAATCTGGTACCACAAAAACACTCAATAAATAATAGCTATTATTTCTACCATTTTCTCCCCCCAGATTGCTTTAGATATGCATTGTCCAATACAGCAGCCACTTTGCCACATGAAGCTATGCAAATTTATTAAAACTAAATAAAATAGAAATTTCAGTCACACTAGTCACATACAGTGCTCAGCAGCTCCACGTGGCTGACAGTGCGGCCATAGGACACTTCCCTCACTGCAGAAAGTGCTACTGGAGAGCACTGTCTAGATCATGGGGACCACCATTTTTGTTCCTATACCCCACTAGTAGAAAGTTTGAGCTTTTATTTGAAAAGTAAATAAATATCTCAAAATATTTTATGCATCTATTAAAATATATATTAGTTTATAAGTTATATATGTGCTAGTATATATGAATAAAACTTAATTTCTCCCTTTTTAAGTTTGTAAAAGTAAGTTCCCAACAGTCATCTTAGAATCCATGCTCTCGTTGACCTCTAAGCCCTGCAGTGGCGGAGCCCACAGTACACTTTTTCAAATGCTCTCAGTCTGTCCAGCCTCGGGATGATGATTTCCACCAGCCACCTTAAGGAACAACGAGGTAGTAACAGGAAAAGGGAAAGAATTCGTGGCTAGTTTTGAAAGATGGAACAGAAACTAGATACACCCTTGGTTCCCACACAAAATATTTATAGGTTTTACCTTATAGCTCCTGAGCCATTCCACACTGCTGGGCACTGGGAACAATATGGCCATTCCTTTGAATCTAATCTATTATCAATGGCATCCTATGGAGGAAAAGAGTTAACAAAATCAAGAAAGTGTAAATTCTAAGATATTTTTATTTACTTCCCTGTTTTGCATAAAACTTAAAATTTTGTATTTATAATTAAGAATCTTAAGGATATATAAATAATAATAAAGTTAGACAAACAAAACAGAAAAACCATAGTAATAAATTATATCCAATTAGATTCTAAAGTAGAAATTGCAGTTTAAGTCAAAAGAAAATTGAAATAAATGAACTATGTACTAGTAATTTTGACTGAATAATCAATGTCATGATTTGACTGAGTTCATAAAACAATTTTTTTAATGTTTATTTACTTATTTATTTATTTATTTATTATTTTTTATTGATTTTGTACCGAGAGGAAGGGAGAGAGATAGAGAGCTAAAAACATCGATGAGGGAGAGTCATCGATCAGCTGCCTCTTGCACACCCCCTACTGGGGATATTCCCGCAACCAAGGTACATGCCCTTGACCGGAATCGAACCTGGGTCCCTTCAGTCCCTAAGCCGACGCTCTATCCATTGAGCCAAACCGGTTTCGGCATAAAACAATTTTTATTAATTTATTTTCCAGTTTCCTATAATTGAATATTTTCTAAGTGAACAATACTAAAGGCACAAACCATCTGTTGAATATAACAGCAAACCACAGTAAGGTTTACATTTTAATCACAAATACATTTCCAAGAATATTGGAATTAACACTTTCTAGCAGTGGTTATATACAAATATTATTTTGTTTTGGACTTTTGTTCAAATAAGTTATTTGTATATCTGTTAAAATAAGAGCAGTTTTTCCCATAAAGCATGTGTGTTGATTTTATTTATTTGGAGGCAACCAGTGGTGTGTGTTTGAGGTCTTCAAGGAAAGAACCAAGAGCTTCCCCTCCTCCCTTGACCCCAGGTACAGGCTTCTTTGGTGAACCTCCCAGGACTGCAGACAATTCCTAACCTATAGATATGCCTGGCCTGACCGGTAAACTATAAACAGTTAAGAATGCTCTACAGGAGGGCATTCAAGGTATAAGTAAAATTTAATGAATTTTACCTCCAAAATATCTTTGATATAAGGTGTCCATCGAGAGAGTTGAAAAGTTTCTTCTGCAGACCGGTCCTTTCTTGACGGTTTGCCTTGTGGAGACTAATATAATTGAAGGGTTAAAAATCAATAATTTTAGTGGTATCCTTTTATTAAGTTTCTAACAAAGATGTTTAATTTACAGCAAGTACTATGTTGTACTACTTAAAAGTAAGATTGGAAATGCCTATTATGAATAGTTGTGGACATATAATTTCACAGTATTTTTTGCTTTAAGGATAAAATTTATAATAGGACCAGAAAATACGTTTATTTGAAAGGGCTATAGAATTTAATGGGAAAAGAGATTCTAAATAGAGTTCTTTCAAAATTTGTTTTAAATTAATTATAAAGAGAAAAGCATCAATAGCAAATTACAAGAGAAGCTCTAAGAGATAAATTCACCAGGAAGATGTAATTATCTAAATTACTCATATATGAAAAACAAAATGTTAATGTTTTATTTACCAAATCTTTGGAGTAAAATTTAGAAAACTATCCACGTGGATACCTATATGAGACGACATTTAATGTAAACAACTGCACATGCACACATGTAAGTACATACAGAATGTAAGATTTCTTACTGGGGGGACAATGGGGACACCAAGGTAACTCCAGTTACGAATCATGTCACTCTCATCTTCTATTTTTACATTCTGGATCAATCTATCCAAATTTTCTTCCGTTGTTCCTTAGGTAAGTAAAAATGTGAGTTATATAATTACTACCACAATCATTTCTAGGTTTTAGGTAGTATCTATTAATAATGCTTTTTAAATAAAGAGCAAAGATTTAAATTATATATCCTTCAGTCTTCCCCCAACTTCCTATTTTTCCCTTTCCTTATCTTAACCAACTTCAGCTACCACCATTAATTACCTTAGTAAACCACTTATTATCGATATAATGAATTTTAGAGCTGGGTAGTCTAATATATTTATGAAAATGAACAAAGTCTCCATTACCATTATTACTGAAGATATAGAGCAGGATTGCTCGTATTTTATCATAATTGTCATGGTTTTTGCCGAGCAGAACTGGCAGGAGCACTCGCATGGAATCCTTCACCTTCTGTCCTTCGGCATCAGTTCCCAGTGCCAGGTCCTTATTGAAAAATGACAGTCAGTGGTCTATAACCCAAGTTCATTTCAGTTAAAAGTCTTGCTAAATTTTTAAAAAAGATATTTTTATTGATTTCAGGGAGAAAAGAGAAAGAGAAAAATATCGATGAGAGAGAACATCCATCGGCTGCCTCCGGCAGGACCCCCACTGGGGCCTAGCCCGCGATCCTGGCATGTGCCGAACCAGCTCTTCTTGGTGCATGGGTTGATGCCTAAACACCGAGCAATATCAGCTGGGCAAAATCTTTCTCTATTTTAATGGTATACTGATGACGTTTCACAGGAAAATGTGGGCATCACTTGCAAATTTCTGATTGCAGAAAGTGCAAAAACTCAAAAAATAATTCAGAGAAAAAGAAAACCATCACCATAAACCTGTGCAATGACCAGGGTGGCCCTGACCATGCGGCTACTGGGCACTTGAAGTGTGCCTGGCGGGAATTAAGATGTGCACTACAAAGGAGCCTCCTTAACAGATTCAATGTGCCTGTGCAGTGCTCTGCAGGATGCCATGTTCGATGATGCACCCTGAGGAAGGCCTGCCAACAATGCCACCTGGAGCAATGCTCCAAACACTCAAATCATCCCATTCAATTGCAAGGGCATGATCACGGAGTAGGAGGGAGTTGCTTACTATTGATACCATATGTAGCTCCTTGTTAATTGGTGGGGCATGATGTATTCAGTATGGGCTAGGTGAGTCCGCTTCTAAGAGAGATTCTGTGATTCTGGACACACTGTCTTGAGCAAAGCTAGGTTTTATCTTAGGAAGCTCTCTCAGGAAATCTATTACGAACACAGGTATTTCTGACTGTACATACCTGTTCAGTTTTGCAGAGCTTTTCTATATTAGACTTGAATTTATTCATGCAATCTTCTGCTATGTTAAGATGGACAACTTGCTGAAAAACAAACAAAAAAAACCAGTAATTTAAAGCAGTCATTTTCAATTGTTGTACCACAGAATGTTTAAAACATGCAATACCTGATTACTTAATCAGGAGCACTGACCTCTTTTCCCTTAGATTGTCAAACAAAAAAGTGATAAGAGCCTACACAACAATAGCCATCTGGTGTGAATGAATCAAAATACCTTCCCCCCCTGCCTCTCAGATTTGTACCATGAGATGAAAAAGTTGAAAATCACTGATTTAAAGCATTTTCACCTTTTCTTGTGTGTGCAATGTTAAACTTTTGAGACTGGCCTGAAGGGAAGTATGGGTTTGGATGGAAAGGAAGTACCATGTACATACACCAAAGGGAAACAACTCAAAATGGGGGGAAAAATGAGAATTAATATGACCTACAGGGGACAATCAACAGACAGCAAGAAATAAAATGAGAGGCTCGGCCAGTGTGGCTCAGTGGTTGAGCATCTCATGAACCAGGAGGTCACAGTTCAATTCCTGGTCAGGGCACATGCCAGGGTGTGGGCTCCAGCTGCAGTAGTGGGTAAGCAGGAAGAAGCTATGGATGATTATCATCATTGATGTTTCTAACACTCTTTCCCTTTCCTTTCCTTTATGAAATCAATGAAAACGTATTTGAAAAAATTAAATAAAATGAAAGGATTGGATTTGTGTTGGGTTTCTGAGTAATGAAAAATAAGGTGAAAAAAAAAGTCCAGTTCTTAAAAGTCCAGAAAAGTCTGAATTTATATTAGTTCTTAATTTGCGTGCAATATGATAAAAATTATTCCAATAATAACTTGTAAGAATAACTGGGGCAGCAAACAGTTTATCTGCCCACATAGTTTAACTACTTTTAAATCTATTAATTTAAAGAACCAAGTAGAATAACAATTATAGTTGAACCAATTTTTAATTTTCTTATTAAGTTGATAAATGCTAAACATTTTCTGTATGGCTATTCAAGACAAAGATATAAAGAAGTCTAAGCTGGATATGGATAAATCTAAATTATATATAGAGAGAATACTATTGGAAAGCTTAGTTCCTTAGGATATTTCTCAGAACTAGAATAAGGTTTTACAGGAAAACTAACACTAAGTGTTCATGACACCCACTGCTACACCTGACTACCAAACTAGGTGGACTAATAAATGATAAGTATCTCACATACAGTACTGCTCACCTTAGTAATCTGTTTTCGGAAATGCGGCATCTTTTTCATTAGCTGGGCAAGAGCACTAAGTGATGGCTAGGAAAAAAAATCAAACATTTTAAAATTAAACTTATGATTCAGTTATTCTATGTAACAACTTCATCAATTTGAAAGTTAAATAAGATTCATTCTTACCTTTCCTTCTGTTGCTTTCTTTGTTGATGAAATTTCCTTCATAAGCTTGGGAATTTCCCTGACAAATTGAGAGAATTCTTTAAATTTCTAAGGTGTAATTCTTTACAGAGACATTTTAAGATTACAAACTGTACTTTCATGTATTTAGTCCCCAAAAATATGAAATAAAAATTAAAATAGGTTCACATACTCTAATACAACCGCAATATGCCGGTGTCGAATTCTGACCCAGAGGTCATCATCTTCTTCAAGGATTGCCTCCTTTTCTTTCCCGTCAGTTTTATATCTACACGTAGACACAAGCATAAAACTTTTAATTATCCTCCCCCCAAAAAAAGTTGAAGAAATATTTTTACACACAAAAGTCTTAACACACAGTTCAAGAACTGAAGAGTACATATCCACTATTTTTTTGGGGAAAATGAATACTACTAAATACCTACTCAAAACTAAGGCTTATTGCAATCCTTACATTAAAAATCAAAGTGCTGCCTGGCTGGTGGTTGTGAGTCAACCTATAAACCTGGAGGTCAGGATTCGATTCCCAGTCAGGGCACACGCCCAGGCTGTGGGCTCAGTCCCTGGTAGGGGCATGCAGAAGGCAGCTGATCAATGATTCTCTCTCATCATTGATGTCCCTCCCTCCCTCCCTCCCTCCCTCCCTCCCTCCCTCCCTCCCTCCCTCCCTCCCTCCCTCCCTCCCTCCCTCCCTCCCTTCCTTTCCTCTTCTCTCTCTGAAATCAATGAAAATACATTTTTAAAAAGCCAAGGAGTTAATCCTACTAAGACATTTTTACTGTCAAAAGTTAGAGTTAGCTGTCATTATTATAGACTTTTAGGTTAGCAAAATGGTATTCTATTAATATAAAACAAAAATTCAATGTTCTACAATCAACTTTAAGAACAGGACTGTGGCGCTGGCTGGTTTGACTCATTGCTAGAGCATTGGCCTGCAGACTGAAGGGTCCTGGGTTCAATTCCGGTCAAGGGCACATGCCCAGATTGTAGGCTCAATCCCCAGTTAGGGGTGTGCAGGAGGCAGCCAATCAATGATTCTCTCTCTTCATTGATGTTTCTCTCTCTCTCTCCCTCTCTTTTTCTCTGAAATAAATAAAAAATTTATATATTAAAAAAAAAACTATGTGTCATGGTTGGCTCAGTGTGGCTCCATTGGCTGGACGTCATCCTGTGCCGGTTTGATTCCCTGGTCAGGGCACATGCCCAGGTTATAGGCTCAAATTCCTGGTAGGAGGTGTGTGTGAGGCAGCAATTGTTATTTCCCTTTCTCAACAATATTTCTCTCCCTCTCCCTCCATTCCTCTCTCTCAAAATCAATAAAAAATACTTAAAAGAACAAGACTGAATATATTAATAATTTTTTTAAAAATATATTTTATTGATTTTGTACAGATAGGAAGGGAGAGAGATAGAGTTAGAAACATTGATGAGAGAGAGTCATCGATCAGCTGCCTCTTGCACACCCCCTACTGGGGATATGCCCACAGCCAAGGTACATGCCCTTGACCGGAATCGAACCCGGGACCCTTCAGTCCCCAAGCGGACGCTCTATACACTGACCCAAACCGGTTTTGGCTGAATATATTAATAAGTTTTATTCTAATTGTTTAAACACGATTTTGATGTTCTGATAACCATTAGCACAACTATCAATCATCCACTAAATAAAGAACAGAAATGTTTGCGGTTTCAGAGTTGGTACAAAATTCACAAACATATATCATTTGTTTGTATATTCTTCTTCTCTAACCCTATAAAATCATCTCCTTTTAAGAATGAGAAAGGACCTGAAACTTATATAATTTTACTAACCATGTCACCCCAATAAATTCAACTTAAAAATGAAGAATGGGATAGAAAATGAGAGAAAAACAATGTATAAAAAAATTGTGATTGCTTTAATAAGTTCTACTGAAGCAAGCAGCAATTCAAGGGGCTCATGAAATTATTTAAAATGGGCTTCCCGACTGCTTCCCCACACGTTCTCTCTTCCTTTTATACAGATAGCCTCCTTCCCCGGGGAGCTGGGGAGGTTCCATCATCCTGGGGACTGTCAATAACCCGAGCCAAGATTAGGAAGAACAGCACACTGAGCTCTCCCAGCTCTGGACTGTGGACAATAAATATTAATTTCTGCTATATGAATACAATCATTTCCACAGCCCCAAATATTACACAGGTTCTGCCTATAAAGGCATCTACCTATGTGGTTTTAATTACAGAGGCTCCATGGTAGAATGCATATGCTTAATTATAAGGTTGCACCTGGGGATAACAGCCCTTTTGTCATCAAAGTGCCACTTGTAGTTACAGAATATCTTTAACCTTTGATTTGTAAACAAAAATTAAGGTACTTAGCATTTCCTGCTTTGTATTCTATTTCCATTAAAAATACTGAAATATCACAAACCACAGGGAGTTCATGCCTCCATCTAGTCTTACCCCTGGACTTGATTCATAAAAAAGGAATTATTGATTTTTTAAAAAAATAAATAAATCTCTCTTACTCTTAAAAAGATTAAACCTTGCTTTGCTTGCTAGCAAACCTAGGAAGATAAGTATTTTAAATACTTGGTTAAAACTAATATAATTTATAAGAAGTACCCATTACTTGATCTCTTTGTGCTACACACTGCTAATGTCTGAAATGTATGTCTAAAATCTGAAACCAAATTCTTTAGTTAGTGTTCATCAGCTTAATTCTTTTGTAAATTTATTAGGCAATGCAGGTTTAGAGACCTAAAGGATGAGAGGTAATAATAATCCCTTTTGAAAATTCTGAATAAACTGCTTGATGCTACTTTTAAATTAGAAAAAAAGCTATGATGATTTCTGTATGTCATCTAATAATACAAATAACACAGAGAAAGCCAGAGTTTGATCAATATGTAAATAAAAATGTAAGAAAGAAAAATACAAAATCAGTTTAATAATATTTGGTTTAAGAAAAAATATACTGCCGAAGCCGGTTTGGCTCAGTGGTAGAGCGTCGGTCTGCAGACTAAAAGGTCCCAGGTTCGATTCCGGTCAAGGGCATGTACATTGGTTGCAGGCACATCCCCGGTAGGGGGTGTGCAAGAGGCAACTGGTCGATGTTTCTCTCTCATCGATGTTTCTAGCTCTCTCTCTCTCTCCCTTCCTCTCTGTAAAAAATCAATAAAATATATTTAAATAAAAATACTAAGTATAATTATCATAAGTGTTTAGATAGTTTTAATCTATTAAAATTACTAAATTAAATCTAAAATTTCAAAAAACTGATTTTCACTTTTTTCTACTGTGCTCAAGCAAATACATCAAAAAAGTTTCAAAGCCATCAGATTACCCATTAACTTACAAGGTTAAGACACTAAATGTATTCTGATTATAGCAGCAAGAGGAGAAAGGCCCTAAATAAAAAAGGTTACAGAGACTTTAGATTTCTAGTGCCTACAAGAATCATTAATTGCTCATATCTTATCCTGTTTGTTTATGCCCTTCTGATGCCCTTGGAGTTATACTTGCTTGTATGTATCATTCTCAATCGGCAGTAGATCATACGCCATTGCCTGAAACGTCAGTTCATGCAGGACAGTGGATACAGGATCAAAGCCACGGTCAATTATTATGAGCTGGGAGTGAGTTTTACCCTGGAATAACAAGATAAAATTATCTTTAAAAAAACTTCCATTTCTTTGTGTGAACACATTTTTATACTATCTTAGAAAACAAAAGCAGATTTTTCCTAAGTTCTGTCATTTGAAAGAAAGTAGTTTTCAGGAAGGAAGAATGGAAAAGATGAGTTTTATTTATGTATTTTTGCGGATTTTGCCTTTTTTCACTGAAATCATAGGATATTTACTAATATATTGATTGTGTATCTCTTCCCTCATTCAATAGACATTTACTGATTACTGATTACTATGTGTACTGAGCCATTATCTTCATAACTACAACCAACAACAGCTTTTGCCAGGCCTCCAAAGCAAAAACTAGTAACTTTTAAATTTCTAAACTAACAGTATATCTAAGCTATAAACTCTCCATTCTAGCCAAGGTGTTTGTGAATTTAGCCTTTTTCTCTAGGCCTCTGCCCCAAATATCCTGTTATCCAAGCAGTACAATTCCTCTTCTATAACTTATACTCATTCTTCAAGCACAAGGGCCTACTCTTCCAGATGCCTTCCAGGACCCCAGTTAAAATGAGAGTGAGTCCCAGCCCATGTTCCCATTACATTCTCTGTATCCTTCTCATTCCACTTATCACAAACCATTGTAATTGATGGTTTCCTCCACCATCTCCTCTTCTCAACAATCTAGTTATTCCTTTCGTTCCCTAGCTACTGTAATATGGCTTTCCAGCCCAGTGGCACCAGCTCTGTCAGGCTCTTCATTTTCCAACCCACGCCTAACTGCTGGGATTCCCGGGTTTGGGCCTTACTCTTTGATTACTTCATACTCTCTTCATAAGATAGTAACAGCTGCCAATCATTAAACTACCGTATGTGCCAAACACATGATAACTCACCTAATCTTCATACCAACCAAGCAAGGCATACGTTATATTATCCATTTCACAGATAAAAAGGCAACTCAGAATAAATAATCTTGTCCAAGGTCACAGAGCTAGTAATAACAGGAGTAACTGTATTTATTAACTGTTTATTCTAAGAACTTTACATATATTAACTCAGTTAACCCTACTTTATAAAATAGGTATTATCTCATTATTCCCAATTTGTAGATCAGAAAACAGGCATAGAAAAGCTACAGAATGTCCCCAAATTGACATATCTATTAATTAAATAACAGACCAGGATTTGAACACAGTACCTACAATACCCTTATCTTCTCCCCTAAACCTCACTGTGTATTAGAGTTTCCACTACCATCTATAGAATATTAATGACTCTCAAATCAATATTGGGGATCTATGTTAATGGCTCCCAAAGCAATATTGAAAAATAAACAATAGCTTCATTGGTTTATAAAGAAATAAGTCAGACTTTATGCATAATCACTATCTGCCTTATATACATTACCTTTATTAAGCTCTTTTCATCAGTCTTGTAGTAGTTTTCAAGTTTTTTTTCAACAAGTTGGGCAAGTTTACTGGCATTATCTAGAGGTTTACTAGAAATGGAAAAAATGTTCACTTATCTTTCTTTCAAGACACTTTACATATCATAAAATTGAATTTTAAAATGCAATTAATTTAATAAATTTTATAAAATGGAAAACTTCAGGTAATAATATGTCAAATATAATGTTATACCAATTTTGTCAGGATTTTATAAATATAAACCTTATTGTATGTACATTAGATTTTTTAATATAAAGAAAATTTTATAAATACAAGTACAGTTCCCTTTATTCCCCTTCCAATTCCTGGCCTTCTCCCCTACCTCTACTTCCAACCTCCCCACTCCCAAGGAAACCACTGTTATGAATTCGATGTGTGTTCTTCCTGCCAATACTGCTATTTATTTATATATATATATGTGTGTGTGTGTGTTTTGTTTTGGATTTTTGCAATACAAGGGAAGCAGACCTGATTAATAAGCATCATCTTTCTTTCTTTCTTTCTTTCTTTTTTCTTCCTTTCTTTCTTTCTTTCTTCCTTTCTTTCTTTCTTTCTTTCTTTCTTTCTTTCTTTCTTTCTTTCTTTCTTTCTTTCTTTCTTTCTTTCTTTCTTCTTTCTTTAAATATGTTTTTATTGATTTGTTGAGAGGCAGGAAGGGAGAGGGAAAAATACATTGATCAACTGCCTCCTGCACACTCTCTACTGGGGATCAAGCCTGCAACTCGGGCATGTGCCCTGACTGGGAATCGAACTGATAACCTTTTGGAGCATGGGATGAGGCTCAATACATTGAGCTACACCAGCTGGACTATGAATGTTTTATCAGTGTATATGTTTACTGTTATGAGGCCTATTTATGTTGTCACATATATCAAATTTATTCAAATTTAGTTCTCTCTATATATATGTCTATCAAAAATTATAAGGGATGCTATATATTCATTCCCATTTCCCTAAAGATGGGTATTTAAATCATTCTCAATTCCATCCTATCCTATTGCAAACAAAACTGAAATAAATATCTTTGTACAAATAGCACCATGTACATGTTTCTCTAAATATATTAAAAGTATCTAAAAGTATAATTACTGGGCCCTAGCTGGTGTGGCTCAGTTGGTTAGAATGTTGTCCCATGCAAAGTCACAGATTTGATTCCCAGTCAGGGCACATATGGTAGGAAAGTGATAGATTTTTCTTTCTCACATCAACGTTTCTCTCTCCCTCTCCCTCCCTCTGAATCAATGAAAAACATATCCTTGGGTGATAATTAAAAAAATTAATAAAAAATAATATATAAAAAATGAATGTCAGACTCCTATATAACAAAGACATTTACTCCTATATAACAGAGAAAATGAGATTTGATTATGGTAAAGACACAATTTTATGTAGCTCCTATATAACAAAGACATTTCCTCTAAGCATTCCTTAAACTCACGGGGGGAAAAAAGCCTGTAAATCACACCAAATTTAAGCACTGAAATTCAGTAACAGAGGCTATTTATCACTCTGAAATTTAAACCTCACACTTTAAATCTATAATTACAGCCCTAGCCTGCTTGGCTCAGTGGATAGAGTGTCAGCCTGTGGACTGAAGGGTCCTGGGTTTGATTCTGGCCAAGGGCACATGCCTGGGGTTTCAAGGGTATGCAGAAGGCAGCCAATCGATGATTCTCTCTCATCGTTGATGTTTCTGTCTCTCTCTCCCTCTCCCTTCCTCTCTGAAATCAATCAATAAACATATTTTTTAAATACATAAATAAATTTGTAATTACAGCATAATCTTACAAGGAAAATTCTGCAAACTAATCTACCTAGCACAGACATTATTTACCCCTATCCTGGAGAGAAAATAGAAAACATAACATGAACAGACACTATGAAGTGCCTTACCTTTTATACCTTACTCCGGGATTTTCATCAAGGCTAGCACATACGGTAACTATCTGCTCAGCCATTGCTTCCATTACAGCATCTTTTCCGTTTGCATTACTAGGATCTGGACTGTAACAGTAATAGAAGGCATCTGGTACATCAAGAGTGTAAACCTAAATGAGGCCAAAAAAAGTTACACTGTCAATGTGGAGACTTCACATACATATATATATATATATATAAATGCGACTATTATTTGGGCCATAAAAAAAAAAATACTTGCACTAAACATGCTGTTTTCTGAAACAACTGTGTCTTTACCATAATCAAATCTCATTTTCTCTGTCATGTGGATTTCACCCTTTCTTTTCTGACTTTCCTTTCCTGCTTAGTCTACCTCTTTCCTTCAGATCTTATTTCATAAACAGATAGCTTTTCACTAACTGTGCAACAGCTGAAGGACTCTGAGGTAGTCAAATAAAAATCAAAATCTAATAACTGGTCCACCAAATGTGGCTCAGTGGTTTAATGTCAACCCATGCACAAAGAGGTCTCCGAGTTCGATTCCGGTAGGAGGCAACCTATCAATGATGCATTGATGTTATTATCTCTCTCCCTTCTTCTCTCTCTAAAGTCAATTTTTAAAAAGATCTAATACCTAGCACAAAGAAATACAACAAAGCCAAAATTGGTCTATATATTTGGCATACACTAATCTAGAACAGTTGACTAATGAGTTTGCCGACCACTACCTTAGGGAAAAAAACACTTAAAAACGTTTTAATAATGTACTTATGTCTTTAACCTGCAGTGGTCGGCAAACTCATTAGTCAACAGCGTGGCAAACCACTGTTCTAGAGAATAATCTACCGTATTTTCTGGTGTATAAGACGACCCCCTAATTTTACAGTTAAAACAGGTTTAGGCCTATATTCGCTGTATAAGACTACCCCCCACTTCCGAGGCAACACCAGTTCTTTTTTTAATAGACCGCCTCTCTGACTCTGGCCAATCTGAGCAGACCTTTTACTAGAACACAGTGTAGCTTCGGGTACAGAACATGTATAATTTGCATGCATAAAAGCCTTTTTTTAAAAAATCGTTTGATCTCATAATTTGTGCTATAAAACTTGACATACACAGGTCCTAGTGGTAGATGTGAAATTTAAGCTCCACTTTCATTATTAATATTATATTCTAATAAAGCACTTATGTTCTTCCCTTCATCATATAAAATTTTTATTTGTGGACTACTCAAAATTCACCTAATATCTAACAAATAAAACATTACAAATATAGAAGTAAAATATACCTTATTAACAAATAAGCTCATAAAACAAAATTTTAAAATCTATTATGAACAAAAATTTAAAAAATTAAAAAAACAGAAAGTACCCGAGATTCATGTGGAATGAAGGAAATATTTATTTCTTTACATCTTCTTATGGACTTGGAACAAGAAGACTTAATTTTGTTAAAGAGACTATCAGGGCAAACTGGAAGGAAAAAAAGAAAAAACATCAAAGCATATAACTCCATGTAAATTTTTACTCTTTTGAATAAATCATTCTAACACCTAGGAATATTTATTTTACATATAAATTATTGACTTTTACTATGTAATTTGTCATGAGAACAGAAATAATACATAAAAATATTGTTCTTCACTTTATAGAGCATCTGTATTCTAGTCAAGAGGCCATTCCAGAAATTCTGTTTTCCCCATTTATGTCCACCATAACCTTAAATATATTTCCTTAGATAGCAGCTAACACAGCAAACTAAAACTGTCAGGAAGGAAAATAAAATCTTACTTCATGACTTAACAAAATTTTCTAGGATTTTTCAGAACTTCTTAGGAATTTGCACTAATTTTCTAAGTTGGCCACGAGGTGTAACCATACCACACAAACTGTTAATTCTTTTTTAATTACAAGAACTTCTCTGATGTCAGGAAATTCTAAACAAGTAAGTTCTGGACCTTAGAGCCCATTTTTTTTCTTCCCCTTTTTAACCTACTTTCCATTAAATCTAGGTTAGAATATTAGCCATTGGCTCCTAACATGAAGTGGCTTTTAAATGGAGTTGTTTAGCCTCAAGATTCCTTAAGTTAAAAGAGGCTTCACATTCATTAAAATTTACCAATTTCATAGACATGAATTTCTGTATAATAAGGAGACCTAAGTGACAAATACTTATGGGATAACATTTAAAAAAAAAATGCTTACTACTAGTAGGCATGACATAAATAATAATTAACAGGAATAACAATATAGTACTTAAAATAATAGCAGAGACCAAGACCCAACTTAGATCAATGACATTTTTATTTTGCAATGTAATTATGTAATATAACATAAAACAGAATTTTATGTGTCTCTGGACTTCTCTGATTCTTTCATTTAGGTGCTTCCTATCGAACATAAGGCCTGGTAAGATAAATGTGACTGATTTTCTCCTTTAATACTTGCCTAACCGGGGCAATTTCTCTAGTGCCCTCCCAAAGGATCTTATTTCTTATTATATAATCAAACCCTCAATTGAAACTTCAATTTAAAAAAGAATTCTTGTCATCAGCACATAATTTGAAGGATGGCTTCTCCACCAGCCCCCACCTCTGTATAGCAGCAAAAATGATTAGCTTTTGGCCAAGACCGGTTTGGCTCAATGGATAGAGCGTCGGCTTGGGGACTGAAGGGTCCCGGGTTCGATTCCGGTCAAGGGCATGTACCTTGGTTGCGGGCATATCCCCAGTAAGGGGTGTGCAGGAGGCAGCTGATCGATGACTCTTTCATTGATGTTTCTGACTCTATCTCTCTCCCTTCCTCTCTGTACAAAATCAATAAAATATATTTAAAAAAAAAAAATGATTAGCTTTTGAAACTAGTTTGAGATGATTTATTTTAATTTTCTATCACTTTATCATGAATTAGGATATATATGATCATATACTTTTTATTCTTTGTAACTTAATTAGAATAAGTAGAAAGTCGCTAGTATTGGCATATATAAGGATTTTAAATAATGAAGCAACGACTTTTACAAAGCTACTCACAGTCAGTGAAGTATATGTATGCCGCTTTATATTTACTCTCCGACTTACTTGGAAAGTCACGTAAAAGACAATCTACAGACTTAAAAAAATTAGATGTCAATATATATTTTATTAAATACTAATTTAAGTATACTAGCTTTTGAGATAACAGATTATTTTGTTTCGATGATAAAACCTTAACTGTGTAGAAGTTTAATTTATAAACTTATTTTATAAGATGTTATGCTGTTTAGCCAGTGGCAGCTAGAAAAGTACTAAGATCAAAGAGATATGTATGAACAGAGAGCTGTTTGGTGAGGAGGAGATCTAGGAATGATCGATCACGAGGCTGGGAAGCTGCAGCAACACAGAAGACAAAACCACTGAAAAAAATAGATGAAGGAGAGGGAAGTCAGCGAGCGTACTTGAAGTATTATCCACACAGATACTGAAACCTCTGAGACTACCACTGGAGAAGTGTTGAGAGAGTGGTAGTGAGCTAGGAGCTAAAACTCTCAAGAGATTAGTATGAAAACGAAGAAGAGGGTAGTTGACTGCAAGAAGGAGGAATGGGAGTTAATACAGTGTGGTGGAATCTGACTTAACACTGCTAGCTTTAAAGACACAGTGGTCTGAAAGTAAAAAATAACCAAGATTTAATGCTCTCTCCTTCCTCTGTCCCTTTTCCTCCTCTGGAATTTCTAGAACCATATTTCTAATAGATCTCATGGATCTAACCTCCAAGTCTCTTTCCCCATTATTTCAGTACTTTGTTTTATTTTTGCTTTGAGATAGTCCATTCTGATCTTCTAGGCTATTTATTCAAATTTCAATAGTAATTATTCTCTTCTTCAATTAACTATTTAACTGAGAAATCCTAAAAATATCCATAATAAAAAAGCTTCAGAAAGATTTTATGTGCTAACTAGAATCTCCTTCTGTGTCCTGTTTCTCTGTTCAGATTGTCAGCCTTCTCATTCAGCAGCTACATTTTGCTAGATGCACATTTTCTCTATTATTTAACTTCCTCTCTCTAGCAGCTTCACCACTTACTAGTAGATGGGTGGTTGCTGAATTACAAACCAAAGAAATTCCTTTAACATAAAAAAAAAATTACACCCACACATACATACATCATGTATGCAGAGAACTAAGATAAATTGATTAATCCAAGACTATTTCTTTAAAGTACATTTCTATAATGAACAACATAAACTGATGAAAAAAAACAGATCCAGAGAAAGAGAAGCACCAATCAGACTGTCAAACCTCAGAGGGAAGGTAGGGGAGAGTAGGGCTAGGGGAGAGAGATCAACCAAAGGACTTGTGTGCATGCATATAAGCTTAACTGGAGGGGTGGGGGCATATGTAGGAGGGGTTTGAGATAGGAATGGGGGGATGAGGACAATTAGATGATACCATAGTCAATTAAATAAAACACCACCACCCAAATAAATAAATAAATAAATAAATAAATAAATAAAGTACATTTCCATCCTCTTAACAATTATGGCTGAATAGGATCTGTATAAGTAACAAGTAATTCAAAGAAACTCTAATAATTTATACAATTAAATTCTGCTTTCATATTTCATGAGGGAGATAGGAATTTTTTTACTTCAATATTCTTAGTGAGAAGAGTGTAAATAAAACAATCTTTTAACAGAAAAGCTTTTCTAAGCGACCAGTTTATGTCACTATTTTTCTAATAAAGGGTATTTTGTTACCTTGACTTTTCTATGAGAAAGTCAAATCAACAGTGAAAATATTGAAGAATATACTTTTTAAAGATACAAAATACTCACCTTTGATGTTGGAGAGATAAAATAAAGAGCTTTCATTTGTCTGACAGGTTCCCGAGTCTTATAAATATTCTCCACAACTAACAAAAAAGAAAGTTATTTTTTATAACCAAATATTTATACATTCAAAACATTTTTTACATTTGTCTTCATTTGATAAAGTATAGAAGTCTTAAAAATGTGTTTTCCTAAGGTTAAACTCTGGGCTAAATAAGTGTTCACCATGAAAATAAAAAGATAAAGCAGCTATTTCATAGTTAGGTCTACCAGCATAAGCAATCAACAGGCCATGAAGAAACCAAGAAAATGCATTAAAAATTAAATTATGTATTTATTTTTTTAAACACTCTATTATAATAATAGCGAGTATGATACCGATACCAGGCTAAGCACTTCACATGAATTATCTGTTGAATCTCATAATAACCTTATAAGTATTTTACAAATGAAGAAACTGAAGTTAAGTAACTTGTCCAAGTGACACAGACAGAAAGGTGGACAGAATTCCCTCACAGGTCTGTCCAACTCCAGAGCCCAAGTTTTTTTAACTACAGTTCTATAATATCCTTTAAATAATTCCCTAATTAACTCTTATTCTTTTAAAACCATACATTAATATTACAGAGTACAAAAATAAAAACCCAGCATAAACCTGGAGCACTCTGGAGGATACCGAGAACAGCCCAGAGGAATGTGCTCCATGGCTACAGTCCTATGACATGCTCTCAACAAAAGCTTTCTGTGGCCAAATAAGTTTAGAAACTGAACACTGTACCTGTACCTGTACGCGGGGGCACATAAAAACTCCAAAAGTCCTAAAGAAACCTGTTAGCTTTGTTTAATGCTACTTCTCAAACTTACTTGGCCACAGAATCCTTTCATTGAAAAGCATCTATAATAATAAAAGCATGTCAGCCTGCGGACTCAAGGGTCCCAGGTTCGATTCCAGTCAAGGGCATGTACCTTGGTTGCGGGCACATCCCCAGTAGGGAGTGTGCAAGAGGCAGCTGATTGATGTTTTTCTCTCATCAATGTTTCTAACTCTTTATCCCTCTTCCTTCCTCTCTATAAAAAATCAATAAGATATATTTATTATTTATTTATTTATTTATTTAATATATTTTATTGATTTTGTACAGAGAGGAAGGGAGAGAAATAGAGAGTTAGAAACACCGATGAGAGAGAGTCATCGATCAGCTGCCTCTTGCATACCCCCTACTAGGGATATGCCCGCAACCAAGGTACATGCCCTTGACCGGAATCGAACCTGGGACCTTTCAGTCTCCAAGCCGACGCTCTATCCATTGAGCCAAACCGGTCCCGGCAAAAATCAATAAGATATATTTAAAAAAATAATAATAAAAGTGTAATAAGCAAATCGACCAAACAACGGAATGACCACGAGGATGACCACGCTATGACACGCACTGCCGCCAGGTGGGTGCAATGCAGTTGGTTGGGGGGAGGCCCAGGCCACTGACCAGCGAGGTGATCAATCAAGGGGGGGAGGAAGGGGTGGCAGTGGACAAGGCCAGAGCCCAGGCCAAAGCCGGGTGAGCTGGGGGCAGGGCCAACTGCTGGCAGCTGAGGGAAGCTTGGGTGCGTAGCCAGAGGGAGGCCAGTACAAGCAGCGTGGGGAAAGAAGGCCTACCCTTGCATGAATTTCATGCATCAGGCCTCTAGTCTATAAATACTGAATAAATAGTAAGAAACAGAAATATCTACAAAAAATCAGTAAAACCTTATAGTGCAAAATGGTTCTGAAGTTTCATAGTACTTTCACAATTATTACCAAATGGTTCTCACTACCAAATGGTTCTCACTCTAGTTGCACATGGGAATATCCTCTGGGAACTTAAAAAACTTAAGTTAGAGCTTTTCCCACTGAAGGTAATAAAGATTGCAAACTGAATATGTAACTGACAATAAAAGATTATTTTATATATAAATAAGTAAATTTTATTCCCTGGCCAGTGTGGCTCAGTTAGTTAGATCATTGCCTCAAACACCAAAAGGTGACGGGTTCGATCCCAAGTTGAACTACCTGAAGGAGGCAACCGATCAATGTTTTTCTCCCACAATGATGTTTGCTTGTTTGGATGTTGTTTTTCTTTTTCATTCTCTCTGCCTTCCTCTCTCTAAAATCAATAAATATATCTTGGGGTGAGAATTTAAAAGAAAATTTTGAGAACTAACTCAACAGGGAACTAACTGACTTACTCTTGGTTAGAAGCACTTAAATATATATCTCAACTGAGAGGAAAAAAAACCTGACTTACATAGGTTATTTTAAAGATTCATAAAAAAAAGAAAAATGTCCAGTGTAATTATTAAGGCTACAGTTATTAAAGACAAAACCATAACCCCCTTAGAAACACAATTACTAACTAAAATTTATCAATACTTCAAGCTTTCCCAATCACAATAAAAATGTTTTCATGATGAGTACTGGTAACACTTACCAGTTATACCCTCTGCTAGAAGATCTGTCATTTTGCAACATGATGCCAAAAGCTTCGTGGTAAATTCATCTAAAAGCATTATCTTAAATTGAATAGAAATAATAAAAAAAAAAGTATAAACATTTGATTGCTAAAAATTCACACAAAAATAACTTAATCCATTAAACATATTCAAACTTATAATCCTTTTACAACATAAAATTAAAATATGAGGACAGTAGGCAAAATGATCTCAATTCATCTTCTAACAAGCATGATCCAGAGACTGTTTCTTTGTATATGCATGTAGTTTTATATACAAGTGAGCAAATGGAAATATTTCCACTTTGAAGCAGAGAACGTTCAATTTAAATGTATGCTATGTTTAATAAATTTTCTTAAAATTATAAAATGCCACTTGAAGAATAATAATTGTTCCAGGCACTGTTCTAAGCATTTTACATAGATTAATTTATTTTAATATTACCAACTACTCTATGAAGTACTACCATCCCCATTTTATAGACAAGGAAACAGGGGGATGGAGAGATCAAATAATTTTCCCACTATTAAGTGAAACTAAGATTTGAACAAAGTGGTATGGCTCCAGACTCTATAGCTGATAGACGTAAAATAAGGACAATATATTGAAGGTCAATCTAAGGGCCAAAAAATATGCAAATTCTACCTTCCATTCGTCTTCTTTCTTGCAGTCATCAAACACTGTTGCTTTTATTTCTGAAAAAAAAAAAATTATATAGGAATCTTAACCAACAGTTAGAAATACAATAATAGGATAACTATTCAAAATGTCCAAGATGGCTGGGAAAATATTCAATATAAAATTCTGCTAAGCTACATAAAAATCATAGATACTTGTTAAACTCTATGTAAAATCTAGTTTATCTTTAATACCTAACCTATATAGTAACATTAAAACTACATTTTTAAACTTCTGAGAATAAGAGAATAATAAAAAAGGCTAACATATTAAGTACATAAACACCTGGAAAGTATTTCCGAAAGTGTTATCTAATTTGTTTTTTCCTATTTACTTAAACCCCAAATAAACAAAGTAAAACAAAAAAAACCATAGGAAAATCCCTAACTAGCCCATTGCTGAATTACATCTGACAATCAAAACTGGGTAAGTGGCCTAGCCAGTTCGACTCCAGTCCCAGGGCACATACCGGGTTGCAGGTCAGGGCTCATGCATGAGGCAACCAACCTACGGTATGTGTTTCTCTCACATTGATCATGTCTCTCCCCTTCCTTTATACTCCCTCTAAGAATCAAATGGAAAAATATCCTCAGGTCAGGATTAATAAAAAAAAGTTTTTAAAAAAACTGGCTAAGTTTTTTCTTCCTAATTTACTATTAATTACAATTTTCAAGAACATGTATCACTTTATGATATAAATGAGTATTCAGTCTTGATCTATAATCATAAAAGCATAATGTGCTAATTAGACCAGTCAGAGCAGGGCTACAGCCGCAGGATGGAGGCTGCGGAGGCCTACTCTTGCACGAATTTCATGCATCGGGCCTCTAGTTATTAATTTGTTCCTTGAAATGGTTTTCAAAACTAATATAGGGTTTGAAAGCTACGTCTATAATAGCTGTCAGGTTTGTTTTTTAAATAGCTTTGTTGAGATAATTTGCATACCATATTATAGTTGACTTTTGAACAACTCAGGGAGTTAGAGGCACCACCTCTATGGAGTCAAAAATCTCTCGATAGCCAAAACTGGTTTGGCTCAATGGATAGAGCGTCGGCCTGCGGACTCAAAGGTCCCGGGTTCGATTCCGGTCAAAGGCATGTACCTTGGTTGCAGGCACATCCCCTGATCAATGTTTCTCTCTCATCGATGTTTCTAGCTCTCTATCCCTCTCCCTTCCTCTCTGTAAAAAATCAATAAAATAAAAATAAAAAGCTTAAAAAAAAAAAATCCCTCTATAGCCCCGGCTGGTGTGGCCCAGTGCCGAGAACAGGTTGTATGTATGGGGTTCAATCCCAGTTGCGACGCCTATGGATGTTAATCAACTGATGTTTCTCTTTCACATCAATATTTCTCCCCCCCCCCCCTTTTATAACCTAATGATATTCCATTGTGTGAACATATTATGTGTTATTTTTTGATGGACATTGGGTTGTTTTGACTTTTGACTATTTTGTATAGGGCAGCTATGATAACAGCTATGAATCAGATATTAAAATTTATTAAGTTTTAATATGTTAAGAGTGCCTGGCACAGAGTAATTGTTCAAAACATTGTTCCCTTCTTCCTACGTGGTGGGTAAACTGAAAGGTATTTAGCTTTCTGTACTATCTTCAAACTAGCAAAACCTTTTCCCAGTCAAATGTACGACTGCCTATCTCTAAGGAGATTCCTTCATCATTTCTTTCAGACCCTGTCACCTCTTACTAAGGGATCTAATAGGCATCCCCTTCTCTTCTTCTCTCTCTCATCCCTAAATGGTGAATGAGCATCATCTTGAATTTCCGGTTATGTTCCTATTTACGCCAAGACTCTAAGAACTGCCCTGGCCAGTCTGTATCACTTGGTTGAGTGTCCTCCTGTGCACTGAAAGGTCGCCAAAGGTCACCGGTTCAACTGTCAGGTCAGGGCACATGCCCAGGTTGCAGGTTCAATCCCTGGGTTGGGTACAGAAAATAATGTTTCTCTATCTAAAATCAATAAAAACACATTTTTTTAAAAAAAGATCCTAAGGGCCCTAGCCGGTTTGGCTCAGTGGACAGAGCATTGGCCTTTGGATGGAAGGGTCCCAGGTTCAATTTCCGGTCAGGGCACATGCCTGGGTTGTGGACTCGATTCCCAGTGGTGTGGGGCGTGCAGGAGGCAGCCGATCAATGCTGTTTCTCATCATTGATGTTTCCATCTCTCTCTATCTCTTCCTTCCTCTCTGAAATCAATAAAAATATATTTTTTTAAAAAATCGTAAGGGATCTTTTAACTATTTTAAACTATTATCTCTCTCCCATTCAGTCTCTGTCTTATCTTACACTCCATCTGGACACCCTGGTACCACCTCATGCTAACATCTCAAGATGGAACCTGTGTTACCTCTCAGCGCTCCCTCTCTTGCCCAGTATCCATGCTATCGAGACTGGAATTACTCTCATTAACTTTTTCTTTATTTTCTTTCTGATAAATGCTGATGCTAAGGACCATTCCATAGCTTAGAAATTACTTATACAGCACAGTTCACCACCCTGTTTCTCATAGACATATTTAACTGCCCTTGCAACTTTAAGACACTACCATATCTTCAAAGCCGGCCTCACACATATTGAGAAACAAAATGCAACCTTATCATTATCCAATTTCCCAAAAGATGGTTTCATAGCTCTTTTTTTCTTTTCCTTTCTCTTCGTACACTTGTTTTTCCGTACCTGGTGTGTGAAGCACAAGGCCAGTGACTGATTTGGAATTTCGGTTTCACACAAGGAATTCTGTGCAACTCCCAGAATTTTAACTCAGTCATAGGGGGTCTTTGCTAAACGAGCCGGGCGTCAGAAATCCTCGTTCGATAGATGCTGCTCCCTTTCCACTGCTGGACCCTGACTCTGCTCCCAGCCATGCCGGGGCAAGGACGGTTTCCCCACCTGACAGCCTCCTGGGGCCCACTTTTAGGAAAATCCTCCTGGATGGCGACCCAGAAAGTGGTCCAGTCGCTCTAGCTGGTGTGGCTCAGTGGATAGAGCATCTTCCTATGGACTGAAGGGTCTCAGGTTCGATTCCAGCCAAGGGCACATGCCTGGGTTGCGGGCTCGGTCCCCAGTAGGGGGCGTGCAGGAGGCAGCCGGTCCATGATTCTCTCTCATCATTGATGTTTCCGTTTCTCTCTCCCTCTCCCTTCCTCTCTGAAATCAATAAAGATATACATTTAAAAAGAAAAACAAGAAAGTGGTCCAGCCCTAAGAGCCCAGAGCCCGTCACCCCAATGGCCCCGCCACTGTGGACAAGTGGCGCCTCCGGGGACAGAGGAGGAGGCTGTGTTCGGACCGTGCGTTTGTTTGTTTGTTTGTAAAGGACACTGCACACCGGGCTGCAGCTCCGAGGGCGGCCGGGGAGGCCGGGGAAGGGCGGGACGGGAAACAGAGCTCGGACTGTCCCGTCCGGCGGGGACATCGCCGCCTGGAGCGGCCCCGGGAGGCGGGGGCGCGGCCGAGGCCCGCGCAGGGGCCGGGACGCTCCCCCCGCGGGGCCGCGGGCCGGCGCCGGCGGGGCCGAGGGGGGGCCGGGCGCCCGCAGGAAGGCCGCCTCCGCCTCCCGCCCCCGCCCCTCCCGGCGCTGCCCGGCGGCGGAGCGGGGCCGGGAAGGAGGAAGAGGTCCTGACAGGGACGCGCGTCCCGAAGCAACAAGTGCCCGCGGCCGCTCCCCCGGAGGAAGCCGGTCCGGGGGCGGGAAGGCCGGGCCGCCTCCCTCAGCCCCGGCCTCTCCGCACTCACTCTGCCACACGACGCTCTTCAGCCCCCGCTCCGGCTCCGGCGGCGCCATCTTCCTGTCGCTGCGGAGGAGCGGCCGCCGCCTCCCGCTGGCTCGCCACCGACTTCAGCCGGGCTCCGGGGCGCTCCCGTGGCCCCGCCCCCGCCGGCCGCGCCCGCCGTGACGTCACGTCGTCCGCACGGGAGCCACGCCCCCACCCCTGGACGGAGGCTGCGCGATGCGGTGGAAGCCGGCAGTCTCGCGCCCCCTAGTGGGAGGCGGGGTCACGTCACCCTCGCGTGGACGTCAGAAGCAAAACAAAAGAAAAAACGTGCGGACAGGTTGTCAGCTGGTGGCACCTGAGAGGTTTTGGAATTTCTGGGTGCTAGACAAGAAGGGAATTCTTCTCTTTGCGAAGCGATTCATACTAGACTTCGCTCAGGAGCCATTTCAACAACCGAATGGGAACCCTACCCCCCTCCCCTCCAAAAGTTGATTTTATGTCGTTTTCAAGGACAGAATAACGGTGTAGAACAACTATAAGGTGTACTTCCAGTGTGCCCGGAACTAAACCCACTCCTGAAGAACTCATAGTCAAATTATAGAGCTCAATTCCTGGAATGCTGAAAGTGGTTAAAAGTTGGTTTCAAAAGCAAATGCTTTGATGATGATGATATACATAAGTGAACCAATAAAACAATGATTATTTATTTGCTAAACATAAATTCATGTGTCAAATTGTATGGGAAAGGCTATCAATGCTTTAGGGTCAAGAAGAAGGGGATTACTGTTGAAAGCTGATTCCCAGAGATGATCAGAGAGCTCAGACTTAAGTGGCCCAACTGTGACGTCATCCTCACACACGCTGGCAGAAAGAAAGTAGGCTTTCCTACAGAGATTTGCAAAGAACCAATGGCCTTAATTCAAGTTGGTCACACAGAGAAGTGGAAATTATTTCTACTGCTAATAATAGTTAATATTTACTGAGGGCTTACTAGATGCCAGGTACCCACGGTAAGTAGATTATCTCATTGGCCTTCAAAGTATCCGTTACCAAGGAAATGGAAGCTTAATGGAGTTAAGTCACTTAGCGGGGATGCACAGCCAGTGGTGAGTGGGAAAAAGACCAGGCTTGAGTTATACAGAAAGTTACAAATAGAGCAGTCTGTAAGATAACCTGCAATGTTTGCTCTTTAGTCATGAGAAGGAAATGTAAAATCAGCCATAATATGGGTTCAAGCACGCGAATGGCATTGTTAAAAAATAAAATACACCTGGCCAAAAATGGAGTCACTTTATGTTAAGCCTTGAATGGCTAAAGGACTCCACAGCCAGGGCTGGCGTCGATGAAGCACTCACGGAGCAGATGTGCTGAAGGCCGAGGAGCAGATGGGAAGGCCGCGGCGTGTCTGGATGTGAAATCTCAGAAGGAATCTCCCAAGCAGACCTTTCACATGTCCAAGACTTGCCCAGGGCACGGCTCACGCTGGCAGCCTTCCAGAGGACTTGCTGGGTCTCTCTCTCTCTCCAGTCCTCTCTGCAATTTTCATATATTGATTTCAGAGAGGAAGGGAGAGAGGAAGAGATAGAAACATCAGGGATGAGAGAGAATCGCGAATCAGCTGCCTCTGCGCGCCCCCTACTGGGGATCGAGCCTGCAACCCGGGCCTGTGCCCTGACTGGGAGTGGAACCGTGACCTTCTGGTTCGTATAGGTCGATGCTCAACCACTGAGCCACACTGGTCAGGATCCTGACCTCGCCTTCCAGAAGTGGAGTCAGAGTTGTTCTTCTAAAGAGCTTGTGCTATGCTAGATGCGTTGTGTAGGCTAACAAAGCTTGTCCATCTCTAGTCACACTAGCGTTTGAGACAGCCCTGCAAAACAGGTGGGGGAGAACTTTAAAAAACAAAAGACAAAACACTGGGCCTTGGAATCACACCACGCCGATTCCCATTACTCACTCAGTCACGTCTCCGCTGTCGTCGCCCCTCGCTCTGTCACTCCGCGTTTCTCTTCCCTCTGTAAATCACTGCGGGCGACAAGGGAGGGGAGGGGACACAGGCAGACACTTTCTTACATTAAAAAGCCCTCAAACGGCTCTGAGGTTCAGATCAGCGTTTGGATCTGACATGTTCTTTCACAGGGAGGAGGAACAGCAATCAAGAAAAGGGCAAGAGCACTGACTGGTGTGGCTCAGAGGAAAGAGTGTTGTCCTGCGGACTGAAAGGTCCCAGGTTCGATTCCGATCAAGGGCATGTACCTGGGTTGCGGCACATCCCCAGTGGGGGGTGTGCAGGAGGCAGCTGATCGATGTTTCTCTCTCACATCTCTCTCTCTCTCTCTCTCTCTCTCTCTCTCTCTCTCTCTCTCTCTCTCTCTCTTCTCTCTCTCTCTCTCCCCTCTTCCTTCCCTTCCACTCTCTCTAAAAAAATCAATGGAAAAATCCTCGGGTGAGGATTAACAGAAAAAAAACAAAGCAAAGTGTAATCATGGAAATAGTCTCCAAGAATTAAGACCTAGGCCCATAGACACTTCCCTGAAGACTAGGTCATGAGCACCTTGGGAATTCTTTAAAAGTTGTTTTTTAATAATGTAGAAGCTTTTCACAGCTGGTTTTTAATAAGTCGGGCCTGTTTCCTGAAGCCACCAGAAACAGAACCCCTTTAAGCATTCACAGGGGCTGTGCTTGTCTCAGGCCTGCAGGTTCCTGCTGAGCTCAGAGGAGCGCTGGACTGGGAGCGGAGGCAGAGAGCAGGTGTCGGGGAGAGAGAGAGAGACTCAGCCCCGATCCCTGCCGGTGGATGGTGGTCGATGGGACGCTGGCCCAGACTGGGGGCAGCCGGGTGGGGCTTGCTGGTGGGAAGGCCTCATTTCCATGCACATGCTCTGAAGTCACCATGTCCTATTGGGCATATGTGTACATGCACCCGGGTCCTGTCTGCGGTCTGGGGTTTATATGACTCCCCTGGAAACGGGAGGCCCGAGGCCCCAAACCAAGCCACCCTTCGTGGCAAGCATTTCTCTCGAAGCAGCACAGGCCACGGACTGGGTTGACACACATGACTGTGTGGTCATCCTCATGGCCTGGCCCAACGGTGGCTCCGTGGGGCGCCCAGAATGGCTTCGCAGGGATCAGCCCAGAGCACACTCAAGGAGGCAGTGAGTGCCATCTTGATCCCAGTCTCCCCCTCAGCACCCCTTTTCCACCCTGGGGCTCGTCTGTCCATGCACACTAAAAGCAGACACCCTAGCATTTGTCTCCCCGATTAACTGAAGAGTCAGCTTTGGTCCTAACTTCACTGTCACCCTAAAATGCAATGAGAAAGTCCCCTTCTATTTCATCATGAGAAAAATGACTTACCCATTCCAAGGGTACTTCCGGAGCAGGTGACTGCAATAAATAAAAACACGGCATTTCACGTATACTTATGGATATGTTTAAGGTGATACAACTTATGAAAGAACAAAGGGGAAGTAAACCAAAGAATGAATGAGTGCCCAGCAGGCGTGGCTCAGTGGTTGAACATTGACCTATGGACCAGGAAGTCACGGTTCGATCCCTGGTTTAGCCCCATGCCCGGGTTGCAGGCTGGATCCCCAATAGGGGATGTGCAGGAGGCAATTGATCAATAATTCTCATCATTGATGTTTCTATCTCTCTCTCCCTCTCCCTTCTGCTCTGAAATCAATAATATATATATATATATATATATATATATATATATATATATATATATATATTAAATAACAAATGGGAACCAATTTGGCTGATGGGAGAATGAGATAATTACTAGCAGTCTGACCTTGGGTAAGTCACTTAACTGCTCGGTGCCTCAGTTTACCTATAAGGGGTAAGAAGAAGATTTCGAACTTCATAGGGTTCTTATAAAGATCAATTAATTCATGTGAACCCTTATAATAGTTGCAGCACATAGTCAATAGCTGATAGTCATTATTATAATTTACAATATTGTCCTAATTATCAGAATAATGCATCATTGACACTGAAGAAGAAAAAAACAACAACACAAAAAACTCTAAAAACAACTCCAAAAAATGCCCCCCAAATGCATGGTTTTTACCAGAGAAACAGCATTGAGATAATGAATATGAAAATACTAGACACATTTTAAAACACTTGGTAGAGCCCATAGCCAGTGTGGTTCAGTGGATAGAGCATCATCCAGAGGACTGAAGGGTCCCAGTTTCAATTCTAGGTCAAGGACAGATGCCTCAGATGCAGGCTCCATCCCAATCCTGGTCGGGGCATGTGACTTCTCACAGCCCTGGTTCTCTCTGTCTGCCTCTCCCTTATCTTCCACTCTGTCCAAAATTAATGGAAAAATATCCTCCGGTGAGGATTAACAATAATAATAATAATAATTATTATTATTATTAAATAAAATAATAATAAAGTAAAACACTTGATAGATTGTAAAACATTATGCAGCTCTAATGAAATCCTGTGACGCTCTTTTTCCTCTGAGCACATCCCCACCCCAGCAACCTAATCCTGTCACTCCCCAGAGGGCCTTGCTTCGGGCCAGCACGTCCTGTGGACAAGATAATGAAGAAATAGGGAATCGGAGCGTGACAGCCAAGGTCAGGGAGGACGCCCCCGCCGGGGGCCTGGCCGCGCTCCGTCCTCGGAGCCCTCCCGAATCTTCGTCACCTCCACGGAACGGATGTTTCAGGTTCTGCTTCTCGGCGAAGGTCGCCGAGCCAAGCTTGCCTCCTCCCCCTGTGTTCGAAGGCTTCATCGTCTCTTTTCTTTTTTGGAAGGTGATGGAAAGTATGTAAACATGCCTGGGCACGGTAGGGGGGGAGGGCTGGAATACAGGGCAGGGAACTGTGAGCTGGCACTCACTGACTGTTCTGATTGGGGATCACACTGCCAAGCCCAGCTTAGGGTTTATGAATTCGTGTGTGTGTTTTTCTGATTCCCCCAACCCTTCCTCAGTCACAAGACTGAATCGGTTCAAATAAAAGTTAAAGTGTCTTAATTTCCAACGTTCCAGGGTGTCTATCGTTATCTCTAAGACTGTGTTAAAAAAAAAAAAAAATCTGTCCCC